TACGACTTTTTCGTCGCAACTGCGCGCAGTTGCGACGCAATTTTTCGCAATTACGGGTCACAGTGCGATCGCAGTTGCGGCGCAACTGCGTCGCAATCAGACCGCAATAGCAAACATGGGTAGGAATATCAGTCGGATTGAGAGCTAAGAAAATACTTGGCAGGTCTCCATTGAAAATTAATGCATGCCGTTATGAATATGCAAGTTTTAATCTGAATAAGAAGAATAGTTTTGATGTAAGTTAAATAAAAGAATTATTTATCTTCGGAGTAACTGTTTACATAAAGTCATTATCATCAATCATCTTCAATGTTATTCTTTTCTTCGCGTCTTTATAATATAAACTTTTCAAGAACACGATGATCAGTTGTATTCTTGTCGAACACGAATAGATACATTGAAGCGATTTGAGAAGAAAATACGAAATGCTTTTTAGTTTGGTTTTACTGTTTCAATTGATAATGTTCTGCTCAAGTACAGAAGAAGATCTGTGGTGTTATTTTCGTGTACAGAATTCCGATGGCAGTCAGTCATGGTGCTTAGACGAAGATTGTTACAAATATTTAGATGTCGTTTCCATTGATGATAATCATTGTGAAACAAACTTTTTATCCCTTCGATTCTCATCTTATTCAACATACTTCACATTTCTTCGTTCCACTTCCACAAAAAAGTCACTCTCATCATATTTTTCTCGAAAGCAAACTAATGCAGAACGTCTTCTTCAAATTGAATTTCTATCTTCATTAAAAGACGATCAAATATTCCACCTTAACGAACTCAAACTTTTGAGTAATTCCACGCCGTCAAATATCGATACGTATGAATTAGTTTTTCCAGGCAATCTTATTGAAAATGACTCACCAATGATTTTCGACGAACAAATTTTTCTCAGTGAACAACAACAATACATCGATACAATACGACTGATATTCAATTGTTCGGCGAATGAAAGAGTCGAATGGGAATTAGTGAAAAGTATACAATCGGTGTCATATTCACCATGTCCACAGCAAATCCGATTAAAACAAGAAAATAATCACGACCAAATCTATGTTATTATTCTCGTAAGTTTTCTTTTCGAAAATGAAACCAGCGTCATATGCGTCTCTTTTGTTTCAGACGAGTTGTATCGCATTTTTCTCTGTTATCATCATTGGTATAATCGGTTTGATTTTATTTCATACTTTCTATGTAAAAAATAACCAACGACTGATCTCTGTGAGTTCAATTTCACTAATCGAACGGTTCTAATTAAAAATTTATTAAAATCTTTGTTCAAATAAAGAATTGTCGTCGAAATGAATCTCTTCATAAATGTTGTTCGGTTTCTTTGTAGAGAGATTCTTTATGGGGTGATGGTAAGCGGGAGACTTGGTACGGACGGACTCGTCCATGATAGGTGCTTCTACAAAAGATAAACTTTAGTCGAAAACTTTTCAATCACGAGAAAAATTTCTGAAAAAGTCTTCATACCGATTGGTTGAATCAATATGTTGTGATATTGAGGAAAGTGTCCCATCAGTTTGTGAGCTTCCCTTACGATGTAAATGCCGATAAACTAAAATGGAGAGAATAATTGTGATCGATAGTATTCCTAAAGGTATTAAAATCTAAATAAAATGGCAAAATAGCGAAGGTTTTATGAGGAGAAATGTGTCATTACAAGAATAATGAAATAAATGGATTCGGAAGTCTTCTGTGTTGTTGAAGTTGACGACGAGAGAAGATTTGATGTTATTGTTGTTACCAATTTCGGACGTTGTGGAGCGAATACAGATGGAGAAGTAATAAGTACAGGACATGGTTTTCCGTCATATGGAATAAATGAGTTACAATACAGTTGAATTTTGATGATAAACCACTGAGGATCGTCGGGATCGTAATGAATAAACCGTTGAAGAAAAAGTTCGTTTGGGAGGTTTCGCATATAGATTTGGTAGGAATCGATATGATTTCCTAATCGATTCAGATGATTTTCCTCGGTCGGTCGATCATCGATATGAATTTGATTTAGATAGATTCTCAGTAAACGTGTTTGTTGAGATTTTTTCGGGAATAGAACCGATAATTGCCATCGAGTTTGATCGAGAAATGCTTGATAAGTTTGAAACGATGAAAATGCAAGAGAAACGAAATTCGCTTTACACGTATTCGGCTTGACAGTTAATGACAATGGATCAAGATATTTGTGACACTCGTTACTTAAACATAAATCACTTGTTGAATCCGCATTTTTTATTATATAATTACATAAATGACCGAAACAATTTGTGAAATTGAATGTGAAGAATATGGAAAGAATAAACCATTTCATTGTAAAAAATGCAAAAATAACTTTCGATTCGTTTTCTGCCCACAAATAACTATTCGTTTAACATTCCGAACACATTCTTTTCGGTCTCCGTCACTCAATTCGTCATTTTGTCGTATGAAATCGAACTAGAAATGAACAAGTTCAAAGACAAAAGATAAACTTTCCTTTGTGTACACGAATGTGTGAATAGGAAACGATTGATCGATTGCGATAGGGTTGATTTCTAATGAATATATATCTATTGGTTCGATGTGTATACATGAAAGTATGCAGATAAGGAGAGAGAGAGAGAGAGAAGAGAAGAAAGAATAACATGACGTCAGATGAGTGGATATTCTTTTCAAACATTCGCTGTGTTTATTTCGCTTTTCTTACTCAATGGAAGGAGAATATGTTTCGAACATCAGACTTGAATTGCAGCCAAGGTTTGTTTTCTTTTTACCATGAAAAAAAAATGAAAGAACATTGCTTTCGTTCGAATGATATTCTAGATCTCGTCGCGGGTATCGTCGTTTGTTCGGAATACGAGAAAATCCTTATTTTAATGAAGATTTATTTGATCAAGAACAATTTACTCGACAATTTCTTAGCGAATACAATCGAAAAGTTCTCCGACGAGGACAACACGTAACAAATTTCCTAATCTGACCTCCAACTTCCGTCGCTTTCTCTTCAGGTCAAATGCAATAACTTAATTATCGCTGTTAAACAAATCATCAGTAATCATTTCTAGAAAATCTCAAAATGAAACTTCTCTTTTTTCTTCAGATGCTCCAAAGGCGTTTGAAGGCAATACTGAAGTTGAATATCGATTGAAAGGTCTTCCATTGAAGTGAGTCATTGTCTCGTTAAATGCAAGGTTTAACCTTTGACTTCATATAGAAATAGGCAAGAGCGTTCAACTGATGAAGAAAAAGGCGCATCAAATGAATCATTTCTGGCTGACAGAAATGAAATAGCTGTTGGCGATGATACAGACAACGAAGTTTCTTCGTAAGCCTCTAAATTTACCTTAACAGTGGAGACAAGTTCGTTTCCTTCAGATGCTATTGTTCTGATTGTCGAAAGAGTTTAACAAATGGTGATTATCTAATTAAAACAACGAACTGGAGTCGACCAATTCTTTGTCTATCTTGTTATGAAGATCATTACACTGAGAAATGCGTTCGATGTTTCAAAGCAATAACCTTTGATCGTAAGCGAGCAATCTTCCTTTTTCGAATTTGATTCGCTGATTTTTCTAGCGAATTCGATCAAATCAGATGGCTTAGTTCGTGTTCACTACGTTGAAGCTCATGGTTCTTATTGGCATTCGGAATGTTGCGTGTGTGCCGTTTGTTTGAAGTCATTGATTGGAGAGAAATTCTATCAAGATCAATATTGCAATCAACTATTTTGTCTTGAACATATTCCTCTTCAATATCTTTAAAAGAAAAAAAAAACATATCTTTTTTTTTCTATGGAAATAAAACGACCGTTTAACGTTGGTGTGCAGAAAGAAGAAAGAGAAGCGAATATTTATAGAAGAATAATTGCATTATATCTTTATATGAGGTTCTTTTGTCTAAATCAGCATTTGATCTGGTAAACAGGAAGTCCGTTCGTAAAACAAGTAAAACATTGTTAGACTTTTAACGAGAGCAGATGTAAACTAAACGAGATATGTAATCCATTGAATTCAACGTTCTTTTTGTTCGGCTTTAACACGATCGATGGCTGCTCCATTCAACACTCCGATAACGACGTTAGTTCTCTTAATTATCTTCTTATCAATTTTGGAAATCTGTTCAAGTCGTTTCGTTTGGGATTTTGGTTCATATTGTTTGAATAAATGTGCCAAAGCAAGACATAAATCAACACCCGTGAGTGTTTGTTCATGCCAATGGATCTCGTCGAATTATCGGCGATCATTATTAAATACAACTCTGAACACATATTCCAACTAAATGTATCCAACTTTGAATTGAAATAAAAGAAGGGGTCTTCGGAATCCTAGACGAACAGCGTTTGCTGGTTTGTGAATGCCCGAGGAACGCGTTGGTGGTGTTAACGTTTCCAAACGAGTGCTCTTATTAGTTTTCTCATCGTCATGCTTTTCTCTAATTGGTATGAGACGGAAACATCTCTCTTTTCATTTTTTGACGAATATTTTACCAGATACAAAGAGATTTAATTGAAAATGAACACCACTAGCGTCATACTGTCATTGACGTGAATCTTTTTATTAGGAGAAAAAAAAACGAGAGAAGTTTTTTAATGATCATTTGAAAAAAAAATGATGCACCAGTCACGTCTATTTTCTTTTTTTTTAATATATATTTTAGAAAAAAATTCAATGGGTTATTTTTCTCAATCGCCATCGAAACAAGTGATTTTCGTTCTAATAATCTTGCTTTCCCTGTATCAAATATGTGAAAGTCGTTTCGCTTGGGATTTTGGTTCGTATTGTTTAAGTTATTGTGCCAAAATGAAGTATCGAACAAGTCCTGTGAGTGTTTGTTCGTGTCAATGGATTTCATCGAATCATCGACGAGGATTATTTGACAAGTTTTTGTTGAAGAATAATAACGATTTTTTTCGAATTAAATAACTTTTTATTCCAAATAAAAAACAAGTTCAAGTTTCGATCGAAACCTATTTAAAAGAAGAAAAGTGTCCTTTTTTTTTAACTTAAATACCGATTAAATTTTAATAAAATCTGTGCGTTTGAGCGAAAAGAACTTTCTTTTCACTGGAACAGGCTAATCTGCTATAATTGATGATTATTTAATTAACTATCAGCGATAGCGCTGATGCTATGCTCGTATTTAATATAAAGCATGAAGTTCATAGTTAGAAAAAATTTTCTTCGACTATCAGCACAGATCTTTATAACAAAAACTCTTCATCCGCAGTATTCTCTAGTTAGGCGATGTTTTTTTCCGAAGGTGTTTGAGGGACAGCGTAGATAGCAAACATGAACTACATATATCATACCGATTAGTAAATGTACTGTTGTGTGTGATGACTAAATAATCACGATACAAAGTTTGGGTGGAGAATCATATAATTTAATAAATACGATTGTCTTCTACGACTATTTTTATGTGTTTCCTTGATTATTTTCCAGTTCGTTACTTATCTATTTTTATCACAAAACGTATTCATTCAGTAAGTAATGTAAATTTGTATGTAGGTTCTGGCTTGATTATATAGTATATTTCCTGTTCTTATGGTATCTCATATCCAACTCATCAGCGTTTACATACTTATCTTCAAGAATAAAATTGAATGAGCAGTAAAAAAAACAATCGTCTTCTATGTTTGGCTATAGTTGCACCAACAAGTTAATCTGGTCTATATTCTATTGTGTGAATCGCTTTAGTGTAACACCATCAATAAATCAAATCTACAATCAGATTTCGGTTATTCAAGGGATTCTTCTCCCTCAGAAATCGATTCCGTGAACAGTGCAACGGAAATTTATGAAACTTTCAGTAGACAGAAAACTTGATACGAAAAGAATTTGATAAAATTTTCATTCAATCAATTATTACAGATAAAAAGTTATTCGCCAAATACTCACAGAAACAGAACTTTCCGCTTGTAACATTTTCGGAACCGTCGGTAGCACCGAGAATAGTAAACTTTCTTTTTTAAATGAAGAAGAAACTTCGTAGACCTGTTTTCGTCTTCAATGAAAATCTCATTGAATGAATCAGGCCAATGGATAACGGTTGAGCTCTCCATTGATCAAATTATTTAAAACGTAGTGAGTCGTTTCTTAAAAATATCCTTGTCAGTTCGAGGAACATGAAGAAGGATGGTTCGTACTGAATCGAATTTCCTTTCATATTCGCAATGATCGGCACCAAAGCCTTCTGCATCGACACATGTGTACTATGGACTATTTAAATCAGGTGAAACACGCCGATCACGATTATCATATTTTGTGTCTGTGATAAAGCATCGTAAGCCGATTTCACACAAAGGACAAATACATATCGGGTGGATGCCCATATATCTCAAATCGGATGAACGTGCGCAGTGAACAATCCCGTTGAAATATTACAAGACTGATCCAATCATTTCGAATTACATCGACTGATAGTTTTCTCTTAATCAATGTTGTTTAGAACAACCTTTGCCATCAAAAACAGTCGGTAGGATAGGGATTGCTAAATCAAAGCAACGATCGGAAATCATCAACTTCCACGGTAATCTAATCGATTTTTCTCAAACATATCAATATGGATTGCAAAAATTCTTCTTCCGTACGATAAGTTACATCTCGATTTATAATTTCTAATGAATAAATGTGTTAATTTGATATGGAAACGAACGGTTCTTTCATGATTATCATCGATTAGTTGAATGATAATTTCAGCAATAGAAATTCCCGATGCATATCCCTGTTTCATCAATTGCATCGAGACAATCGATATGACCATCATTTGCGCGTACAGATCTTCAATTGTTACGTTCCTCTGCAAAAGTTTTGAAAAAGTCAACTTCGGTGTATGATCACAAGGTTTCACATGACACTTTGCTCACAGTCCATTTATACAAAAGCCTATTGATTTAAAGATGTCATCCAATTCTTCACCGAGTAAATAAATTTGAAAACAATCCTAGTACAATGCATATCTGTCGTTGCATCTTGATAATAAAAGTGAACGCGAGTGTGCATGTGGTGAAGTGCATATATTTATTCATATAGCTGTACGTATACGCCCTCTAGTATGCATATGTTGACTTGGCTATTTAAATGATGTTTTTTTGTTGTTATATCTCGCCTTTAACTAATAAAAAATCCACATAGTTACTGTAGTAAAACTGAATTAAAAGTAAAGAGCAATCGTTTTCTGTATTGCTATGGTCCATCATCAAACTGATGTTGCCCATTCAATTGTTTGAGTCATTTTATCGTCTAATAAGTTCAAATTAACACCATAGATGAATAAAATCTAAAATAAAATCATATTATTCTAGTAAAACTTAAACGGTTAAGTACGAACATTCTCATTCGCATTATAAGCAAAATTTGGGTACGATTTGCCATTGACATTTATCATACTTTTATGCACACCAACAACTTTCACGCACCTAATATAATATAAGGCAAATCTCTGTAATTCGTCAGCAGAGCATATATTGTCAATGTGTTCTAGATGCAAATGCGCCTAATAAGTCTCAAAGAACAATTCAAGGCTTACTGATGTTGTCACATTGAATTCAAAGTAACTGTATGATTTACTTTCAATTGTGTCTAAATTCTTAAATGAAATTCTCTGTTGAGCTCGATGTTCAACATACCCATGGAATCTCCATCATCCCAGAATAGACTTCCACTCGCACTTCCTGATTGAGATAGAGAAACAAGAAATTCTAAAGGATTCGTACGACCGTAGACGAGGTTCGATCCTGGAATTTGCATCGGAATAATAAATCCACCTCGAACATGAACATTGATCTTTTCAATTGGCGTTTCGAAATCGACATATTGTCCCACATCGTTTACTTGTATACCTGAGGGAAATTCATACCATACATCTTGTGGAACATATGCATGAACTATCGTTGAATTCTGAAATGATCATTCATGATGATAGACTCTTGATTGTGTATAAATGTATTTACTTGAAGTAGATTTGGAGAAATCGAACTGAAGGGAAGAAGTTGACTACTCGAAGAAAAGTGGTTCGATCACAGTTGTTGAAATTGAACTTGCTTTGAAGAAGAGTGTATACCAATATGGAAGCAGAGAATATCTCATAAGTAAGGCTTGTTTCATGATTTGCTGAGCTTCCCATGAGAAAACTGCAGGATCTTGTGCCTGAAAATTGAGTTCATCTAATCATGTGTGTTAGCGACATGATCTTTACCTTAATGCCAATCTCATTATGATTTCTCATAAAAGGATAAAAAGCGCCTAATTGCATCCATTTTGTACATAAATCTTCCGTTGTTTCGTCATTAAAACCACAAATCTCTGCACCAGCAAATGTCATACCAAATATGTTGTGATTAAGAATAGCTAATTTCATGTTTAAGCAAATTTAATACTTTCATTCTGCATAATCTAAGAACATACTTGGAATTGACTGATAGAGATCTTGATAAGTGGCAGCATTATCACCTGACCAATGGGTTGTGTAATGACCTGAGCCAGCAAATGTCGATCGCGACAGTACAAATGGACGTTTCTTGAGAATGGTTCTCAAAGCACTATCAGACATACAAATTACTTCGATTAGGAGAATACTAATTACTCACATGTTAGTAGCTTTAGCTTCGAAATAACCATACATGCTATGCAAATTGTAGTGCGACGATAAATATTGTTGTGCTGATGTACATACGGTTTTCGCGGTGATATTTCCACCATAGACATCTACTCATGTGAATAGTTATAGATCTAGGGTAACATAAAGTACATACGAGGAGTGTATGGTGGGTTGTCCAGAGAATTCGAAGTACAGCCTTCGTGCGATCCATCGACAAAGTTCGATGGTTCGTTCATATCCTATGATGTGAAGCGTAGAGATTGAAATGACAAAATGAGATAATATTTACAATCCACATGCCATCAACGGGAATGATTTCATGATAAGCTGCAAGAAATTTAGTCCACCATTCCACCGTTTTAGGATTCGTAAAATCAGGAAAAACAGTAGGACCTGGCCAGACCTCTCCGACAATGGGTTCGGTAGAGTTATACTTGGTAATGAAAATACCTTGTGTCAGTCCTTCGTCGTACGGTGGATAAGTACCCGGTGGTTGCGTTGAGCTGATACCTGGATCGATGATATTCATGTAGTGTCTACCTTCGGCTTTGATTTTACGAACGAGTTCAGGTAAACCGTGAAAGGTTTTGTTATCATATGTAAAATCGAGATGAGCGTACATTGTATCGATATCAGTCCATTGAATATCCACGGGAAAATCAGCATCATGCATTCGCTACAATACGAAACGACAATGTATCTGCAAATGGCACTCTAGCATCACTTACTTGCATGACTTCGGTGAGATTTTCAATTGTACCATATCCCCAACGGCATAAGTGAAAGCCAAGAGTCCAGTAAGGTGGAAACAATGGTTTCTAGAGTCAAAAGGGGCTCATACAATTACTTGACAAGTCGTCTCTTACTCCGATGACATCCCAATACTGTTGAATAACATTTTGAACTGTCGGACCTGTGAAGACGTATAGATCGACAATGCCTCCGATAGTAACATAAGTCAAAGCAGGCAATGGCTGAAGGTTCATATCCATAGCATTGGCATTCAACATAAATTGACCATGAAAATTTGTCTGACCAGTCTTATTCAACTCAAGATTGATATGAAATGGATGAACACCTAATAAGAATTCTTTCATTCCAATCATTTGTTGGAATATTTTCTTACCGTAAAGATTCGTATCCGGTCGTACACCGATATCTCGTGTCCAAAATGTTAATCTTCTCCATTCGTTTGTAATATTGATCAGCAGTGGTTGCGTATGTTCTCCAAGACCGTATAGCAATGGACTTGATAAACGAGTGGAAATATGAATAAACTGATCGGCGAAGATCAGTGGCGACAAACTGGAATCGAATCTGATTGGAAGAAAACTCTTACAAAGAAAAATGTTCAGAAAGATTCACTTACAATGTGACACCCGTCGATTTCCGAGTGACTAGGATTGCAAATGGCTTTTGAGCAAGTTTAACTTCATAATCAGTCATGTCCGCTTTCTTTTCTACCACGGGTACATCTAATGGCACTTCGAAGCGTTTATTGAATGTATCATAGATTCGAATACGAAATCGTTGTTGTGTTTCATAGAGAAGATCGACTGTCAAATCCAAAATATCATTTGGCATAAATGTCGTTTGTGATTTGACGATACGAACTCGTTGACCAAAACTAGTTGGTTCGTTCGACACGATCGAATATGCAGGAAAATCCGATGGAAAATAACATAATGGTACACTTATGTCTTGAAGACTTTTGCGATAGTTTCGTGTCGAATTTGTATGTTGTACTGATAATCGCCAGCAACATTTGCGTGCCTCACATCGTTCTTGTGATGCACCATCGTCTGGATGACAATCAAAACGTGCGAGATCGACACTCTGCTCGCATTGTTGTGTATAAATGCGAGTTACACAGCACAAGATTATGAAACCCGTGAAGAAAGGACAGCGTACCATGAAAATCATGAGAATCACTACTGATCAACACAAAACAACCACGTAGAGTAAGAGGTGTGATAAACAGATGCACAAAGTATGATTTGTTAAATTGAAAATGTGGCTGCATCTTTCGCACGACTTCACGCTTCGTAGGATTACCATATTACGCAAGAAATAGATAGGAAGAAAACTAATTCAACATAACAAGACTCGTGATCAGCTTTCCCTACATTCATGCCTTCTTCTGTTTGCATGTTGAAAAAAAGGCACTATCAAAAATAATTGGTTTCTCTGATTGGAATAACATGGACGAACACAGAGATCGTCGAAGAAAGGAATAATATTGCTTCTTCACGGTTCAAGTTTATTAGTCATAATAGGTTTGAATAGCTCGGCTATTGATCTCTCTCGACGTTTAAAACAGACGCACTTATACACGCACGTATATACATATATATCCAAACATATACGAACACATTCGTCGACTGGTATTTGTGTTCGTTTGAAGATCGTCCTTAGCCACTGCCAAACTTACTAATGACGACAAGAGAAAAATACGAACTTCTATTTAATCCATCACAGAACAGTGATGAGAATAAACTTAAGGTAAGAACTGACATTGGTTTTCGTCATTCCGCAATACGTTTTATTTAGATATTAACTGAATTAATTGGCGGCGAATGCAAGCAATCGGAAAAGATCGAATATTTATCTTATCGTGCTAAACTCTTTTCTGGTCGATTTCAATGGGAAGGTAGGTCACATAATTTGGAATCATTGAATTAAACCACATGACTTTGTTCCAGATGTATTGAACGACATAAGCGCGATTGAAACAATGAATGGCAACAAACTAAATAGAAGTTTACGTGGATTGAAGATGTAAGTATTCCGATTGCTGTTCGTTCATTGTTAGTTTTCGTTTTGATTTTACAGACATGCCGAAATACAAATGGATTTACGAAAAGTTCGTGAGAAAATTGGAAATGCTCTAGCCAGTGGTGGTAATCCATTCGTTTCATATATTTTACGTTATTGAATATTCTGTTTGTTTTTAGTTGAACAAAACAAACAGTTTCATGTTTTGATGGAGCATTTGAGCGAAGATGAAATCGTGAACATCATCCACGGTATGCATCGATGTGGAAATTTTACTCTTCATGAGATAAACAAATTCATTTTTAGATTCAAAGAAAAATCCAACCAATTCGAAAAGGTTAAGAAACTAACAAGTATCGGCATTTCGATTGATATATCTACCGTGTGCAAATACAGAACAATGCTCTCATTTCCTGTCACTGTCAACAAACTGCTCCAAAATTCATATGTTCTTCGATTCATTCGATATACTGTGATTACGTATATCGATAGATATGCCACATTATATCAATTGATTTTGCTTTAGCGTCTTTTTTGTTTAACTTACATGATGATTTTTGTTCAAATAAATACTTTTCATCAGAATTGAACAGTTTCTAACTCAACGAAGGAAACGATAAGCAATTGGGTGTATATTCGATTGAATACTTCGCTCAAGATGTGAACAGAGATCGGATATGAGTTAATTTGTCTGGTCAACCTCACTTCTTCGAACATTTCGTTTTAAGTGGTGAGAAGATTATGGTTCTTGTCGAAATCTTCAATAAAAATCGCATTGAATGAATCAGATCAATAGATAACGGCTGGGCTCATCATTGATTAAGCCGTTTTCTAATTATATCTTTCTCAGTTCGAAGAAAATGGCCGAATTTCTCTTCTTATTAGGAACGATTGCCATCAAAGCCTTTCGCATCGATAGATGTGCACGATTGTGACGATCGGAAACCATCGATTTACAATCTCGGACGAATGGATGATTCGTTCACTTTGATATAGGCAAATACATGTCATTACTGAGTCAGATTTATTCATCTAAGGGTGTAGAAAAAGTCCATGATGGCATGAAATCTTTTCATCAAATAAAAGTTCTTTTGAAATGATTTTCTCAGTGGGTATTTTCGATAAGTAATATGTGCATGAATGGTTGTTCCAGCAATAGAAATCTCCATTGTATACTCTTATTTCATCAATCATATCGAGACAATCGATATGTTCATCAATTATTTTCTCACTGGGTAAACGTACGAATCGAAACACGTTGACGTCCATCGCAGTTTCGCTTTGTCCAGCAATTGACTTTGATAATAGCTGAAGACTAACCAAATGATGCTAGAAGAACGCATTTCAATGCTGACCAACAGCCAAACAGCAGAGAATCATCATGGTTCGAAAATAGTTTTTCTACAAATCGATTCCATCGCTTGGTGCAAATCAAGAATACAGATCCTCACTGTGGTTACATTCTTTCTGGTAAATAAATTTAAAAATAATCATAGTACAATGTATATCTATCGTTGTTACTTGATAATGAAAGTGAAGGCGAGTGTGTATGTGTTGAAAACCATACTTTTATTTATAGCTACATGTATACACCCCTCGCCCACACTCACTCTCCTGTATGTAGATGCTGACGTGACTATTGAAATGGGTTTTTATTGCGGTTATACTTCGCTTTGAACTAATAATGAATCAACATAGTTATTTTCTGTACTAAAATGGCCGTATCATCAAACTGATGTTGTCCATTCAATTGTTTGAGTCATTTTATCGTCTAATAAGTTCAAATTAATACCGTAGATGAATAAAATCTGAAATTAGATCAGGTTATTCCAAGAAAAATTACAAGATCGACTACAAACATTATCGTTCTCATTGTAAGCAAAATTTGGATAAGCTTTGCTATTGACATTGACATTCGTCACACTTTTATGCACACCGAGAACCTTCACATTACCTAGTACTATCGGTAAATCTTTGTAATTTGTCAACAAAGCATATATTGTCAGAGTATTCTACAGATAAATGAATTTCTAAAGATTAACGTGCCGTTCAAGACTCACGGTTGTTGTTATATTGAATTCAAAGTAACTGTATGACTTGGTTTCAATTGTGTCTAAATTCTTAAATGAAATTCTCTGTTGAGCTCGATGTTCAACATACCCATGGAATCTCCATCGTCCCAAAACAGACTTCCACTCGCACTTCCTGATTGAGATAGAGCAACAAGAAATTCTAAAGGATTCGTACGACCGTAGACGAGGTTCGATCCTGGAATTTGCATCGGAATAATAAATCCACCTCGAACATGAACATTGATCTTTTGAATTGGCGTTTCGAAATCGACATATTGTCCCACGTTGTTTATTTGTATACCTGAGGGAAATTCATACCATACATCTTGTGGAATATATGCATGAACTATGATTGAATTCTAAAATGATCATTCATGATGATAGACTCTTGATTGTGTATAAATGTATTTACTTGAAGTAGATTTGGAGAAACAAGAATAGCAGGACCGACTAAGAATTGTCGATCGATATTATAAGTATTCTCATCGTTTGGATATCTAGATGAAAATGAGACTTGGTGATCGAACTGAAGGGAAGAAGTTGACTATACTCGAAGAAAAGTGGTTCGATCACAGTTGTTGAAATTGAACTTGCTTTGAAGAAGAGTGTATACCAATATGGAAGCAGAGAATATCTCATAAGTAAGGCTTGTTTCATGATTTGCTGAGCTTCCCATGAGAAAACTGCAGGATCTTGTGCCTGAAAATTGAGTTCATCTAATCATGTGTGTTAGCGACATGATCTTTACCTTAATGCCAATCTCATTATGATTTCTCATAAAAGGATAAAAAGCGCCTAATTGCATCCATTTTGTACATAAATCTTCCGTTGTTTCGTCATTAAAACCACAAATCTCTGCACCAGCAAATGTCATACCAAATATGTTGTGATTAAGAATAGCTAATTTCATGTTTAAGCAAATTTAATACTTTCATTCTGCATAATCTAAGAACATACTTGGAATTGACTGATAGAGATCTTGATAAGTGGCAGCATTATCACCTGACCAATGGGTTGTGTAATGACCTGAGCCAGCAAATGTCGATCGCGACAGTACAAATGGACGTTTCTTGAGAATGGTTCTCAAAGCACTATCAGACATACAAATTACTTCGATTAGGAGAATACTAATTACTCACATGTTAGTAGCTTTAGCTTCGAAATAACCATACATGCTATGCAAATTGTAGTGCGACGATAAATATTGTTGTGCTGATGTACATACGGTTTTCGCGGTGATATTTCCACCATAGACATCTACTCATGTGAATAGTTATAGATCTAGGGTAACATAAAGTACATACGAGGAGTGTATGGTGGGTTGTCCAGAGAATTCGAAGTACAGCCTTCGTGCGATCCATCGACAAAGTTCGATGGTTCGTTCATATCCTATGATGTGAAGCGTAGAGATTGAAATGACAAAATGAGATAATATTTACAATCCACATGCCATCAACGGGAATGATTTCATGATAAGCTGCAAGAAATTTAGTCCACCATTCCACCGTTTTAGGATTCGTAAAATCAGGAAAAACAGTAGGACCTGGCCAGACCTCTCCGACAATGGGTTCGGTAGAGTTATACTTGGTAATGAAAATACCTTGTGTCAGTCCTTCGTCGTACGGTGGATAAGTACCCGGTGGTTGCGTTGAGCTGATACCTGGATCGATGATATTCATGTAGTGTCTACCTTCGGCTTTGATTTTACGAACGAGTTCAGGTAAACCGTGAAAGGTTTTGTTATCATATGTAAAATCGAGATGAGCGTACATTGTATCGATATCAGTCCATTGAATATCCACGGGAAAATCAGCATCATGCATTCGCTACAATACGAAACGACAATGTATCTGCAAATGGCACTCTAGCATCACTTACTTGCATGACTTCGGTGAGATTTTCAATTGTACCATATCCCCAACGGCATAAGTGAAAGCCAAGAGTCCAGTAAGGTGGAAACAATGGTTTCTAGAGTCAAAAGGGGCTCATACAATTACTTGACAAGTCGTCTCTTACTCCGATGACATCCCAATACTGTTGAATAACATTTTGAACTGTCGGACCTGTGAAGACGTATAGATCGACAATGCCTCCGATAGTAACATAAGTCAAAGCAGGCAATGGCTGAAGGTTCATATCCATAGCATTGGCATTCAACATAAATTGACCATGAAAATTTGTCTGACCAGTCTTATTCAACTCAAGATTGATATGAAATGGATGAACACCTAATAAGAATTCTTTCATTCCAATCATTTGTTGGAATATTTTCTTACCGTAAAGATTCGTATCCGGTCGTACACCGATATCTCGTGTCCAAAATGTTAATCTTCTCCATTCGTTTGTAATATTGATCAGCAGTGGTTGCGTATGTTCTCCAAGACCGTATAGCAATGGACTTGATAAACGAGTGGAAATATGAATAAACTGATCGGCGAAGATCAGTGGCGACAAACTGGAATCGAATCTGATTGGAAGAAAACTCTTACAAAGAAAAATGTTCAGAAAGATTCACTTACAATGTGACACCCGTCGATTTCCGAGTGACTAGGATTGCAAATGGCTTTTGAGCAAGTTTAACTTCATAATCAGTCATGTCCGCTTTCTTTTCTACCACGGGTACATCTAATGGCACTTCGAAGCGTTTATTGAATGTATCATAGATTCGAATACGAAATCGTTGTTGTGTTTCATAGAGAAGATCGACTGTCAAATCCAAAATATCATTTGGCATAAATGTCGTTTGTGATTTGACGATACGAACTCGTTGACCAAAACTAGTTGGTTCGTTCGACACGATCGAATATGCAGGAAAATCCGATGGAAAATAACATAATGGTACACTTATGTCTTGAAGACTTTTGCGATAGTTTCGTGTCGAATTTGTATGTTGTACTGATAATCGCCAGCAACATTTGCGTGCCTCACATCGTTCTTGTGATGCACCATCGTCTGGATGACAATCAAAACGTGCGAGATCGACACTCTGCTCGCATTGTTGTGTATAAATGCGAGTTACACAGCACAAGATTATGAAACCCGTGAAGAAAGGAGAGCGTATCATGGAAGTCGAGATGATCTGCAGAAGAAATTTCTCGTGAAAGTCTCCTTTGATCAACAAAAAAACAACCACCGCCTAGAATAAAAGGTGTGATAAGCAAATGCGCAAAGTGTAAGATAACCGACGAACTCTTTATTCACATATCTTTATGAAGAAAAACTTAAGAAAAAAAGCAACGAAGTAGGTTGTATGGTGAAAAGGTAATACGTAGACAGAAGATATACGTTAAACGTTTGCGAGACACTCTCAATAGAATTTCATTGAGAATCGTAAGATGGTGGTGGTGGTGATTTTTCATCAGGTGATCTCACTGAGTGTGGTCTACGTGTTCTCCATTCGATTACAGCTTGTTGTACTATTTGATTCGCGTGCAGTTCCATTAATAGGAATAAATCAAATTCAGGATGTTCCTGATGACTGACGTAATCATACAATTCTTTGATATAAGTTTCGAGGGCTTGTCGATGCTGTTCGTGAATTTGATTGCCTATGTGAAATAGAGAGTGATGACTGGAGGGAAACGTCGGTACGGTGCATCGTTTTTGCAGCTGATGATAAAGTTGCTTGAATTCATCGAATGTATGTGAGACTGAACATTGACCATTTTGTCCAGGGATAATTTGTTGGATATTTAAACGAATTTGAAAACGATTATGACCACGCTCATGATGAAACGATGGAATATCAATATCGTTTTGCAGGCGAGTACGGAATTTAAGTGGAGATTTGAAATCGGGAGAAGTTAATTTTTGATGACACTGATTCGTTGTGAACATTCCGGGAGAAGAATACGGTTGTCGGTAGTCGAAACCAACACTTTGCAACAACTGCGACGGCAAGTCTCTAAGTCTCCCTTGAAAAAAAAACGAACAAAGTCATCGTCATTCAAATTTGGAGTGTCACTGTATGAATCAATACCAAATCTTTGGTGTACTGAAGTAAATGGATCCAAACATCTGAACACGCCGCCTGATATGGCTGCAATCTGACCCATAAATTCTCTTGGTTTTGGATCATCATCTGTATGTCCCATGATAAAAACAGCTGTATGTATAACGCATGGATTTCGTCGCTGACATAGCCATACTTTTAGATCAAGTAAAATCGTTCTTGTATCCATTGATGGTTCAGCATCGGAAAATAAATAAATTGTATTTGCTTCTTCATCTCTGAGTGCCTGTTTCAATGCATCGTACGTATTCGTTTGTCCATGCGCATCCAAATGATCGAAATAATGCTCTGCTTGTTTTAGATGAGAGGACGTCGCTGATGTCAGTCCATGTTTCCAACTGTGAACATGTGTACCAAAATGGATGGTATTGAATCTGAATTGAGCTAATATACGGTGATGAAGAATTTTATGCAGATCGTGAACAATAAATTCCAGACGATTAAAATATTGTCGGCAGCCCGTTTGAAATTCAGTACTCATCGAACCACTTGTATCAATGAGAAAAATCATTCGAGAACTAGTCACCGGCCCGTAAATATGGGATTGGCCACGGACTTCTGCCAGAATTTGGTCAACTTGTGGAAATAAATAGGATGGCAACAGGCTTCTCAATTGAAAGCGATTCACTGGATCTAGTAGTTCCTCGTCGATGACTTGCAAAGCATCCAGACATTGTTGGTGCACTGAAATCATTTGCAACAAAACCAAATAAATGATTATCAAACAGATGAAGAGCAAGTACGAGTTCGGTGCCAGAGAAATAGGACGCTAACGTGATGACCTGTTCACCGCTGAAAGCTCGCGGACAAATTCTCAATCGATTCATTTGCCGTGGTGAACGAACACCGTGTATGGGAACCTCATGATGTTTCTCTCATGCTTTTGAATGAACAAGATGAAGACCATGGCGACCCATACCAAATTGTTTTTACTACTGTAACAAACTACAACACGATCGTTATTTCAAACGTTGACTCTACACGTGTGAAGCGACGCGACTTTCTTTCTTCTTTTTTTTGTAAACGTCATGGAAGAGAGCGAAGAAGGAGGCGTCAAGCGCAACGCATCTTTTGTTCAGTAGTTATGCAATTTTAAACACCGGTTCATTGCACGATGAACGAGTTCTTTAAAAAAACGATAGGATCATGTACAGATGAATAAAATCGTTTTTGTCATTGCATTATTTGTGTTTCTAACAGTTACCTTTCTGCCTGATATACTTTTTTCTGACATTCTGGAGGTGAAATATAAAAGTGCAAGCGCATGGTTTCACGAATGAAGAAAGAAAAAGAAAGGAAAATTCTTTTTTTTTATTTCTCGCGTTCGATTTGAGTCGCTGCCAATGGTTTCTAATTGTAAGAAAAGCAGTGTCTTTCAATAAATTGTTATTATATTTCTACTACCGTGCAAAGAATTCTCATCGGACTTTGTTGCCATACGAGCCGGAAATGTTCAATGGTATAACTAAATCGAAAGAAATTAGATCGACGCAAAAGTAAAGTCCTGGGATGTTCATTGGATTCACTTAATCAACTGATCAGACATTAGAATATTCAGTATGATATGGTTGTTCGACACTTGACAGGAAGAACAATACGAATAGCAGCTGAAAAATATTTGTGTACGAATCTTTGCAGTATCGATAGCTTGTAAATTTTCATACAGATATTCCAATGCAAAAGAAATGAGTGGTGTGAAGAACGTTATGTGTTTTCTAGATACACATGTTAGCTTTGAAGAAACAAGACAAATCATTGCAATTGAAAGAGTAGGATGAACTGATTTATAGTATCTCCTCTCAAATTCAGAGTTTTGTCATTTTTGAAAATACAAGACACTAGCAGCTGGGCGAGGCGAATGTAACACTAAAGAACGTCAGAAAGATCAGTCGCAGACGTTCGAATCAGTAATGATAAATTGGAGTTTTTATTGAACATGGACTTTAACCAAGGCCACTCTTTTTTCAGGCCGAAAATAGATCAGCATGCAGTTTGAGAAAAAAGAAAAATCAGTATTTTTCTCTTGAATGCTCTTATTGGTATGAAATTCAAAATGAAACGATCATCGTAAGGCCATCATTCACAATGAAAAATGGTAATTGATATATTGGCCAAATAGAAGTAATTTCTTTTCAGGGACGATTATTATTACGAATACAGGTTAGCCGGTTTTTTGGACGATCGATGAGAATACATACAATTATGGTAATAACCGGTAGATCCGAAAAGGTGGTTTTCTTCAAAACCAATAGCTGTAGTTATTGCGATGAATGATACTTAATTTAGTCAGCAGCGCGATTATTTATATATCCGGGACATTTTCTCGGTATCAATCGTAATCGATGCTTTGACAACAATGGATATCGATTTATTTTACTCTAGATTGGCAATATTCATTTGTAAAAGTGAATGATTTCTTTTTTATATTCAAAATTTCCGTTTTAAATCGACGTCAATAACTGAAATCAGTAGCGCACATTTTTAGTAACGATGACTAAATTCTTGTGAATTTTAGAATTGATCACATTTAGTCCATTCGATGACAATTTACATACGCCTATTCATGATTGTTATTCGCCTTAGTTCAATAGAGAAATCTTTTTAAAAGAAGTCTATTGAGAAATATTTTTTTATATCTTATTTCATTGTTGTCTTGTTCAGTCATTATAAATAAATTGCTTTCAGAAAAATTCAATAAAAGTTTTTTGTCTGAATGTTTTCAGAATATTTCATTTTCTTCTTTGAAGAAAGTAATCCAACTTTCATATTTTTTTATCCGTACAATTCAGAACTGCTCAGAGGGCAACACCATCCAGCAACTATCAATACTTTTCCATTGACTAGTATCGATGCTGTATGAGCAACTCGAGCGTTATGTACATTTCCGGTCATTGTCCATTTACCGGTTAATGGATCGTACAATTCAGCAGTCCCGCCATTGTCTCCACTAGCGACTAATACCTTTCCATTGAATAATACCGATGATGTATGTTCATTGCGTGCAAAATGCATGTTTCCAGTCACTGTCCAAATCCCATTTGTTGGATCATATAATTCAGAACTGTTCAAAGGGGATCCACCAGACACTAATACTGCTCCATTTGATAATACCGATGCCGTATATCGAAAGCGTGGAAAATTCATGCTTCCAGTCATAGTCCAATTACCTGTTGATGGATCGTACAATTCAGTGCTAGTGAGAGCACTGCCGTTGTTTCCACCAGCGACCAACACCATCCCATTGGATAAGACCGATGCTGTATGATATCTTCGTGCGAAATTCATATTTCCAGTCATTGTCCAATTACCTGTTGATGGGTCATACAATTCAGCACTTGCTAGATAACAACATCCACCAGTGACTAAGACTTTTCCATTTGATAATACTGATGCTGTGTGATCTGATCGTCCGACGCTCATATTTCCAGTCATTGTCCAATTACCTATTGATGGGTCATACAATTCAGCACTTTTCGAAGAGGATCCACCAGCCGCCAACACTGCTCCATTTGATAGTAATGATGATGTAACCCTACATCGTACAACATGCATACTTCCAGTCATTGTCCAACTGCCAGTTAATGGATCATACAGCTCAGCACTGTTGGAATTACATCCACCAACGACTAACACTTTTCCATTTGATAGTACCGATGCTGAATGACCATATCGTCCGATATTCATCGTTCCAGTCATTGTCCACTCTAAACAAGACAAAGAAAAAGTAAAAATTAAACGTTTTCTCTTCTTCCCTTGTGCGATAACTTTCAAATGAACACCAAATGAAAAACAAATTTTGATTTATTTTTAACTTACGTCCTGAGTAGATGATCAAATCAAATTTCTGAATTCGATTATTTTGCTGATCAACAACAAAAAGATTTCCAAAAGAGTCAAAGCGTAGACTCGATGGATATTGTAATTGATTTGAATTTGCGCCTTGTGATTGATAACATCCCAATAGACAACGAAAACCATTGGAATTTTGACCAATAATTCGATGGTTATTCGAATCAGCGATAAATAAATAACTTTGATAATCTAACGCGATCCCGCTTGGACAATTGAGCTCAAATGTGAAATTTGAAGATCCATTTCCAACTAAAGTTACTCCGATCAGCCTTCTATACTTGAATAATTGAATACGATGGTTTCCACAATCTGCGACAAATAAATCTTGATTGACTTCGTCAAGAAAAATTCCTTTCGGATTTTGAAGTGTTGCTGGTGTTGAACCAGGACTTCCTGTTCCGGCAACTGTTTCCAAATAATTCCAATCGTCAGTCAATGATTTCGAAATAATCTGATGTTGTTCTGATAATGAACAATAAAGAGTTTGATTTTCACTCACAAAAATGTCAAAACACTGTTGACAAAGATTCATACGTGAAATGGAAATCAAATTCGTTGAGTTCGATTTGATTTTACTCACGGAACTAACTGATGAATAAAATGTGTCGACGTAAATATCATCTTGTATTGTGACAAATAAGCTTGATGAATTTGTTAGATTAGCAGAAATATATTTGATTGAATTGAAGTTTCCTTGAAGGAAAACGAGAATTTGTCCATTGATTTGACTTGGAATGTAAACCGTGTTATTCTGATTGATAAATAAATCAAATGGATTTGGTCCAATCAGAGTTTCATTAGCAATTGTTATACCATTGGGATTCCATCCAGCATCAGAGGGAAGTATCGGTCGGTTATATGAATAACCTAAATTTAAAAAAGTATTTCTTTTTCATTCAATTTTTATTGTGATTATTAAGGAAATCTACCTGAAATTTGTGTAGTGGAGAATAAAAAGGTTAAGAAAAACAACTTTTCGTCGAGGAACATTACGAATGAATGAAAGATTTCGTTAGTTTCAAGCAGATTTTTACAGAAGATAGTTGTTTACTGCGGAGCAAAAAATTATCAAATAAAGAACAGATGACCTCTCCGGAAAAGAATTAGAATACATGAAATGATTCGTATTTAGCAAAAAAAAGTATTTTTACCTTGATAAACACAACAAAATCATTGCCGATCAAAAATCTCTCTTCTTTTCTTCAGTGAGTCTGTTTTTCCGTTTCAGAGAAGAATATGACAATTGAAATATTAACTTGTAATTGCCCAATAAACAAGTCATGTTGTCAGGTTTCTTTCTTTTGATAAACATTGTAAAACATGAACGTAAGGAAGTCATTATGTCAAATATTTACACCTCACTCAAATCATTTCATTCTAATGCTCGTAGGTACTGTTTCCATAGAAACACAATCGACAAGTAAGATTCGTCAGCATATATTGTGAGTATCAGCCAAATTAATAAACTCTTAGAAATATCGAAATGCAAGTGTCACTTTCTCCCCTGGAAACAGACAAATTGATTCTTGTGTTGACAGTACTAATATGATCAACTTCTTTACACATTACGTATGATTACGTCGAAAAACAGCTGCGTTGAGATGGTATAGGAGAAATATGCACTCAAACTGATATGTTGATGTAATTAGATAAATCCACGATTTAAATCTTCTGAGAATAACTCAGTAGCAATGAGCAGAAAATAAGAATGAGATTTTATAATGATGTACTTATATGTCTCACGTTCAAATAGGCATACGTTCACATATTTGGTGTCCTTTTCTTTCTTTCTTTCTAAGTCATATAGAAATGCAGAATTTGTGATCAAACGCCAATTCTTGTTCAAAGTTGAGTGTGAGTTTACGAGGTGTATTGTCACGCTAAGTTTAAACGATGAGCGTATGAATATCGATCATTTTAAACTATTTGCTATCTTTAGGCATACGAATGCCGAATCATCATGACGATTTGTTTTCAAAAGAAGTTTTATATAATGTTTCGATTGTTCTGTGCACTGCCTGAGACAATACTCATATTATAGCGCATTTACGATGAAAACAATGCTTTTATTGATTCTCTGTTTGAGAGATGTTTATTCATAAATTTTAATCTTATTGTTATATTTTTGTCTATAGGTGTATGATGAATTTTGAAAACAATACCATCGATTATGCTTTTGAGAACTCGTATGTGATCCAAAGTTTTTGAACACATTCTGGTACATAATTACATTGCCGGATTTGTTCGTTAGTGTATTGATCATCTATATGAATTGCCTTCGTAACACGCATAAACGTTGCATAGGACGGTCTTCTCGCAGGTGGATCTTGTAGACAGGTATAAAACTTAGATTTGGCTCGTTCGGCAGCTTCTTGATATTCTTTCAAATCGCTATTGTACGAAAAAGATTGTATGTGTACACTGTACGTAGTCGATAAGGGTGAGCAATCGATGGGTTCAGTTGGCGCATACGGATCTCTTGTTTCATCTTCCTCTAAAAAGAAATATTAACGTTATCTACTGGTAACACTTTTTTTATGCAGCTGTTTGTCAAAAGTTAATATCACTTTTTAGAATAAAAGTAGACAATTACGACTGCAATGAATTTCTGTTTAGGTTCTTATTCTTATTACCTGACATATTCGATACAGAATCTGTAATCGTAGAGCTGGAAGATTCTTCATAAACTGCACTTAAGTCACATTTGTCTTCTAAAACAAAAAAAAACAATACAAGAATGAAACACTTTTTTCATTATATATGATCACGATCATGATTACCTTCTTCGTCGCTTGAATCTAGTCCGGTATTCATCGGCATTTGAGGTAATTTATCGGACAGTTGTTTTAGATTTGTGTTGATTTGACTCGTAGTCTCTTGAGAAATTTCAAATCCCAACGGTCTCATGACACTATTGTTGAGCATTTCATGATAGACACTATTGAGAGGTTCAATGACCGTTTCGAAATNTTTTCATTATATATGATCACGATCATGATTACCTTCTTCGTCGCTTGAATCTAGTCCGGTATTCATCGGCATTTGAGGTAATTTATCGGACAGTTGTTTTAGATTTGTGTTGATTTGACTCGTAGTCTCTTGAGAAATTTCAAATCCCAACGGTCTCATGACACTATTGTTGAGCATTTCATGATAGACACTATTGAGAGGTTCAATGACCGTTTCGAAATCTATCAACTGAACGATTGCATCACGAAGTACAGTGGATGAGCCGAGTATGTGCTTGAGATGCAGTTCAACACTTCTCAATTGCTTCTCCATTGATGCTATCAAGGATTGTTCGGCTCGTTGTTCATTTAGACTAGATATAGTCGCCTGCAATTTAGCATTGGCGTCGTTGAGTTCTGCTTGAACTCTTTGATAATGCGCTTGTTGATTGTTCAAGTTCTGCTGATGTTGATGAAGACGCTCATGTGCTTGCTGCAGATTGTGGTGTACCGATGCTCGTCTTTCCTTAGCATTGTCGATACCACCTGAATTAATCACACTACACAATGGTTTACCGATTACATTACGGAAGATTCGAACTGGATTCAGTTCTCGAAGGAGACCGCCGAGAAAACGCTTCCTACGTCGTCCCATATGGCATATGCGAGCTTGTCTAACCTCTTCCTCGGCATCTATGACTGCTTGATTGGCTAAACTTAACGAATTTTGACTGTGATGTATCTCTGTTTGAACCACATTGATTTGATGTTGTGCAGAATGAATATTATGATTTGCTCGATGAATAGCTTCTTGAGTGTTGCGTATTTGTTCTTCTTGATTCGATACGGAAAGAACCAACTGACTGATCTGTTCAGCGGCAGCAGTACGCAACTTTTCAATGGCTTGAGTAGCTGCATGTAATTGACTATGAACATTCTTCGCGGCGTACATGAGCGAATGAACCAACTCTTGGATACTTGTTTGATCACTTTCGACATCAGCTGCCAGTAGCTTTGCTACAATCTGTTCGTTCAATGTGGTGTACGCTGTACGATACGGAGGTACAACTGATTCTACCAATTGCTGTTTGATAGAAGAGGATGCCATAGATTGTTTAGTTTGAAGATAACAAAAGAAGAGAAGCAGATTGATTATAATCGTTGACGCCATTTGATTCATCGCTTTTCTGTTTGCAATGTCGTATCAGTGAAATTATTTCATTTATATATTTTTGTTGCAAAGGAAGAGAGTTGAATTACATTCAAAAGAAGATAGGAAGTGATGACTGTGGCTTATCTAACAAAGATTGTATTACACTCCTCGGATATATTTCTCTAACTATTACGCATATGTTTTATGGAGTCAAAAGTCTAAAGAATATATTCATGTAAGGGATCATTTCAATGTTGGCGAGATGACCAATCTGCTTGGTGAACTTGATATCCTGGCCGAAAATTTAAACAATCGCAGAGCAAGTGTGATGCATTTTTTGCTTGACCTTTGAATTAATATAGTAGAGAAAAGCTAAATAGGAAGCCTTTTTTTTTAAATCATGAATGAGGAAAGAGGGCTTTATTTGAAATTAAATTTCATAAGTAGAAGCGTTAGTAGGTTCATTTAATGCTTGAAAAGCAAAAGAAAAAATATAGGTAAGTGACAAACAGTGTGGTACAGAGAAAGAAAATAACGCGCCGATGGCCAGTGTAGTTCATAGCTACGATCATTTATCACCCCACACAGTATCGTCATCTTCCACAGGATTCTTCGCCACAGTAGTATCCTTACCTGAAGGGGCTTCTTGACTGATTATGCGTCTTGCCTCATCGATTGTTTGTTGGGCATTAATGTTTGGTCCACCCAAATGATTGATGAGCGTCGTCAGTTCTGTATTTCGTTTATTGAATTCTTGGTTGAATGTTTCCTTGCGCTCGCGGATGAGAGCATTTATTTGATCCAGAGTCTCATTTGTTTGACTTTGGAGACGTTGCACTAACATAATGCGTTCCTCGGTACTTCGAGCATTAAGCATACCTGAAAGTCCTTCGAGGCGACGCATCAAATGTTTACTTGATACTTCGTAATAGGTTTTTGACATAACATAGAGAACATATGCTTCACGATGAATACCAAAAGTATCCTCTTTGAGTACATCGATCAAATCCATTCGTAAGGCGTGTTCTAGTTCTTGACCTTCACCTGCCACTTGGAGAAATCGTCTCAACGGACCTTTAATCATATCAGTGATATAAATGGACATTTTCGTAAAGAAATGTACGAATTTTTTCCATTGTTCATCGATTCGACTGAGCAATTTAAATGCTTCATTTAACATGGCGATGATCTCTTTATAATGCATAGTTGTCAGATCGAGTGACACCATTCTCGCTTGTGTTTTGTGCAGATGGTCGAGCAATTTCATGTACTCAGCGGCCTGTTCATCTTGACGACGGCGCAATTCTGTCATGGTACTTTGCGCTATTTGTGCTTTGAAAATTTCATTTTGAGACGAGTCGCTTGCACCATTACCATTTCCAACAGTGGAGAGACTTTGCGATGCCATTCTGGGATCCGAAAACTGATTCGCAGCCTGAAACGTTGTAGATTGTTGAACGAGTGTAGTCAATTCATCTTCTAGCTCTGTGTTAGTCTCATTATTGGAATTGGCTAGTTTAGCATTAACAACTGCTTGTTTTGCAACTTGTTCACTACGACTGATTAGTTCAAGTACCCGCGACTTCGCCGAATTATCTGGTAAATCCGCTATGAACTCGCGAAACATTTTAAATGCGGTACCGTAACTTTCTAATTGTTTAATGTTTGAATTGTTTTTGAAGAAGGAATTTTTGAACCGTGTTAATGTATTGGAAAATTTGTCAGCCATGGCAAGCGTTTCACTTAGACCAAACGAAAGTGGTGTTTGGCCTCCATTATTTCCTACGAATCCTGCAGCGCCACCAGCCGAAGAACCCGATGATCTTCTTCCTGTGAAACCACTCAACATGAAAGCAGCGGATTCGGCGGCTAAATTTACGGTTTTGAGCATGCCACCAACGAAATCCCGTAGTATAGCTTTGTATCCCGTCGGTATATCATTCAAGGCTTTGTAATAGACTGATTCAGCTCTATTCGCTGCNGGTGTTTGGCCTCCATTATTTCCTACGAATCCTGCAGCGCCACCAGCCGAAGAACCCGATGATCTTCTTCCTGTGAAACCACTCAACATGAAAGCAGCGGATTCGGCGGCTAAATTTACGGTTTTGAGCATGCCACCAACGAAATCCCGTAGTATAGCTTTGTATCCCGTCGGTATATCATTCAAGGCTTTGTAATAGACTGATTCAGCTCTATTCGCTGCTTCAGTCGCTTGTTTATGATATTCAGCGCGTATTTTCTCTTGTTTCTCCAGGCCTTCCTTCTGCACGCGCAGTACTTGCATTTCTCTTTCATTTTGTTCCACGTGTTGTTTATGATTGCTTTCTGTTTCTGCTGTGGACTGAATCACTTCTGCAAGAAGGTCCATTACTCGCTCGAATTCTCTCCTTGTCTTGTTTGTTTCTGCGACACATTCATTGCCGGTATCTTCAATATTTTTCAAGACCCTGGGTAATAAACGAGCTAAAGTAGGTTGTGGATATTTTCCAGCAAGAAGTTTCAGTGCAGTTCTGATATGCTTTGGTATTTGAAGCATTCTCAGCTGGATCACGTGCATCGTTGAATCACCGCTCAGAAATGCTTTGTAGCTTTCTGCAATACAAAGAGAACCGTGTACATTAAAACTCGTCACGAATTGAGCTTCGTGTTTTACCATGTGACACTTGTAAAAGTGTGGCTCGAAACGAATCCGGACGTTGAATATAAGTAAATGTACGATTTGGTGAAAATGCACGAAGAGATACTTCCTTTGTGCTCGAAACAATAAGTAACTGTGCTAATAACTGTATTGTCATAGGTGCAACGAGCATTGATTCTTCCCAACTACTGTCAACTTCTATTCTTTCCATTAAAGCGTTGAGAATCGGCTTTTTCAATGTTGAATCAAGATCTTTTTAAAAAATAAGTCGAATATCGATGTTAACCCATGTGCAGAGATTGATGCTTACCTTTTGTTTCTCGAACGCTACGTGTATGAGAATACACATATCCTATGTTCAAAAGAAAGACTATTCCAATAAAAGTACTGGACATGATCTAGTGCGCAGAAATAATCTTTTTTTTATGTGCTTCTGTCTCGTCGACGTATCCATGATATTTATAAATATTAGTGCTTCATAATACATAGAATAAATGGGAATTCCCATCTCATGTTCTGTATGAAATATTGTTATTCTGGGATAAATGATATTCTTATCTACTGTGACGAAAGAAACGCAAAAGAAGAGTATGCAACAACTGTCATTTAGGCTATATGTACAATAATATTGTATGGGAAAGAAAACCATGTACTGGGTACAAAAAAGAATGAATTATTACGAAGCTAATTTCATCTTAATGTTGATAGTCGGGATAATGCAACAGGAAAAGTGTTTCTCCACCGGCAGAACGATACTCTCTTATCATTCCCATTCACTAGTTCGATATAATTCTAATGTATCTTAAGTAAAGACAAAGTTTTCAGATTGGCAAATCGAAGAATGGAGAATTACTTGAAACACCGTCGAGACGTGTTCCTTGCATTGAAATCGCTCCTGAAACAATCAACACATTGTTAAATGGATATAAAAAAACAAACTATCTTAAATGAGTAATATCTTAACTTTTTATAACATGACGAAAAATAATTTCATTGACGTTGTTTCAAATTTGGATATGAAATATTCTCTAATGTTTCAATTAAATTAACATACTGAATAGATCCGCATAGGGTGTGAGGAATGTTATCGAAACGTACCATGGAGAAAGTAATCTAATGTGTAAGGTACATCTGTTGGAAATATGCTGCAAGTTTAACTTTATAGTGACTGGATATTGTTCGTAGTGCGTGGCATAATATAAAATAAAAATGACGAATAATAGACTCATATATACTAATGGATAATAATCAGAAGATAAGACAAGTGACTTTAAATGGTTGTTACCGATTTTGGTTACAGAGAAAAACAGTTTTAGTGTAGGTTCAAATTTGTTTAGGATGAATAATTCGCCTAGTGAGTCTGTATGTTGAAGTGACGTTTTCATTTCGCGAATGGTAATGAAAATGAACAGTACTATATGAAACAATCTAAGAATGGAAAAGATCAAATAGATCGCAGATTAAGCACGAAGTTAAGCGCGACGGTTCATCGTTTTTCATAGCAACGCGTACGAACTGTACCGTTTCTCCGTTTGATGACTGTTTGTCATTTGACGTTTTTCTTTCTCGGAGTAAGATAAAAGTTTTTTTCTATTCCTCAAGTAAATAACAAAAACAGTGAATGAATAATGTTTTTTCATTTTTCTTTGACGCCTTATGCGCTTTTTTCTTCAAAGCGAACGATTAAAGGTGAGTATTTATTATGAATACCGTGGCGTTGATTGTCTTGCACCACAATGATTAAAATATGCCGCCGACATAAATTTTGATCGATTAGTGAGAATACTGTACGTCGTTTGCTATTTATTTTAGTGTAGTTGAAACAGAACAATTCAATTTTGACATCATGTCCAAGCACTACGGTAAGATCGATTTTCTCGCTATATGAACGATAATTTTTCACTTAAGGTGTTTGCTGCGACGGTTGCAATGCAAATGAATTTTCTACGACTCGTTATAAATGTCAAATCTGTCCAGACTATGATCTATGTTCGACATGTTATAACACTAAGAAAGAGACGCAGAGCCATTTGAACTCACATAGAATGATCGCGATTGGATTACCGGCAGTGAAGGAGCCAGATTCACTCGCGAAACAACACACAGATCAGATGAATCAACTCGAAGCTGCATATTTATCAAGTAAATATTCATTTTCACTTCAATTCGATGAGTACGTTTTCCTAATCACATCGTAGGGCTCTCATCGAATATGTCTACTGATAGTATTCGAAAGAAAACACTCTCGAGATCAACTGAAATGCTCGATAGAGAAATTCGAACGAAGATGATCTCATCGACAGAGACGCTTGATAAACGTGTCACTAGTGAAAGTTGGTCGAAGATGGTCTCATCGACGGAATCTCTTAACGAGAAGTCAACTCGAGTGAAAATGTCCGCGTCAACTGAGAAACTGACCAAACGATCAATCACGGATAATCGAAGAGACACACGACCATTTTTAGTACCCACAACTGATAATCGAGCGAAGACAACTGTGTTCTCAGTTGAATATTTGGAGAAGTTCTCGTATAATGAATTACATGAATTTTTAATTCAACATGATGAAAGCCTTCGTTCACTAGCAGAAAAATGCAAGAAGGAACGAGTCTCTGGTCTTGATCTAATGAATTTCGAAGACGATGATTATAAAAACCTGCTAATTACCTACGGAGAAAAGAAAAAGCTTAAATTATTAATCGAACAAAAGAAATCCAAATCGACTTCTTCTTCTACCTCAAATTCTACACAAGAGCAAGCTGAACTAAATCATTTGCGACAAACTCTGCAAACTTACAAACAAGAAATTCAAGAAAAACACGAGGTAATCCAAAGACTTGAGGAAATCGCCAAAAACCGAGATCAATACGCACAAAAACGAGCTCTCATCATTAAAGAATTGCAAATCACATTAGAACAACAGAGTGCTCAACATTCGTTAGTACAAAAACTAGTGCAGCAGTTATCTTCTGCTACTTCATCTACAAAAAACGGCTTTTCTCAATTGTCGCCGGTAGTTCAAGACCAATTGTTAAATATACCCGAGAATGCTACAAAAATTCCGATTGTTCCATTAAGTTCATCGATTGTAGAGATTCCTATAATTCAATCGAATACACCGATAGTCATCGAGTTAGATCAAAGTATACCACATATTCCAACGACAAAAATGTCCCTTCCAAATTCGTCCACAGGTCCGCATTCTTCCAGTGTTCATTTCTTAACGTTCTATCATCCCGATAAAAATGCTCTGGTGACAAAACCAGTTATTCATGATCCGTATGATATGAACAATTACGGAACACATAAATTAATAATCTACTCCGAAGATTCGCAGCACATTATTACAGAAACATTATTAAATGTTATTCCGGAAATCGAAATATGTGTTCCGAAAAAATTCGCTATTCGCGATTCTGTTAATAACGTCGTCATTGGAGGAATTATCACTTTGAGATCTGCTAACGAAGAATCCGTACTTTTTACCGGTACAACAGATCAGGATGGTTTGATAATTCTACCCGATAATCTTCCCGATGGGTCTTATCGAGTGGAAATTCATTCGCCAAATAACCCAAAACTTCAACATTTGAAATTTGTTATGGTGATTTTTCAAAATCGACGGCAGAGCGTTTTGAATAAGTTCATCGGACGAAGTGACTTGGAATCCAATCAGATACATATTGTGCTCGAATGGAACGCTGAGCCACGAGATTTGGACTCACATTTATACTCATCCGACGGAAGACATGTTTACTTTCAAAATAAAGACGATCGAGATATGACATTGGACTGTGATGTAACAACTGGCTTCGGTCCAGAAACGATTACATTCACTCTTCAACCGAATTTGAAATATGTCTATGCTGTTCATCGTTATTCACCAGAACCAAAATTGACGCAATCGAAAGCAAAAGTTACATTTTATCTAGATGCGGAAAAGACGCAAATTAGTAAAGTTGGATCTCAGGACAAGTTGACCAATAGTGAAACACATCACATACCAGAAATAACACGTCCCAATGCGACATTTTGGGTTGTCTGCATGATTGATGGTTCAACGAAACAAATTCGTTTCTTTCCAAATACTTTTGAAGAACATAATAGTTTTGATACTGATCTCATTGGCAGAACAATTTGTCTTTCGGATTGCTAAATCAAGATAATAAAAAATGCATTAGAACAATTCTTTGCATATCAATAGAATATTCGATTTGTTAACTGACATCCGTTTCTACATGAAAGCATGATACATCGATTAGTAAAGATTTATTTAAAAGTTTCTTGAGTTATAAGGAAAAGATAGAATTATTTGATGATGTTGCAACAGCTAGAATATATGAATTTTCTTCTAAAAATAAGCATTCCAATTTCTTCATCTTCCTTAGGTCTTTCACAAGTATGGTACTTCGCCAATCATCATTATAAAATAGTGCATGACCATGCGTCTGATAATCTAATTGGTGGCATTCTATGTTCCAAAGTTAGGAGCGGTTTTAAAGTATCGTATGAACGACGAATTGCCTCGATACCAGCTTCATTACACGTTTCTGCACGTGGAAAGCCTACATAAACTACAGAACTGTATAGTACGCTTGTTTCAATCACCTTTCTTTCAGTGCAAATTAGGCCAAGTTTTCTTATCGCTTGCTCTCGTAATTCGCTCTGTAAAGCATCGTTCGTATTTTCTGCTTTCGTAAAGACAAAAAGAAACCGGCCAGGGTGCGAACGATAATTCAACCAGTCTAAAACTCGCTTGACATTCGTTTCAACAGCAGATATAATTCGATCAGTTGATAGTACGACAATAACAGCATGAAGTATTTTAAAATTGCGACTCACTCGACCTTTAATAAGATGAAAAATCTCATCATCAGTAAATCGCGTATCACACAGGCCGATTGTGTCAATGACTAAAACAGTTCGGCGATTTTTAACAACAGTCCTATTGTTCTGATCTTTGTTATCAGGAGAGACTGATGTAATATCACCTTGTCCACGTATGAACACGATTTCTGGTGTTACACCTATATGACTAATTCTTGATTCACAAATTACTTGATTGAAAATCACGTTAATTAAATGACTTTTACCAGCACCGGTAGGACCTATGATTAACACGTTATATGTTGGTTCATCAGCATCAAGATAATAATCAACTTGTGTTGGAACATAATACGGCTGTAAAAATGAGTAAATTTGATCTCCACTTGCATTTACTTTATTATTCAAAGCTCGAATTCGAATATCAACAGGAAATGTATTCACCAGTCGTTTTTGATCGCTCATCATGTAATCACGAAAGATGTTCATTAACAACCCGCCACTTTCCATCTGACTACTTGTCCATCTTCCGTACAAAACATAATTCGCAACATGTTCGCAATTACGAAGACATAACGAATAATTTGATAAGCCAACAATCTGATCCATTCGTCGTCGCATGATTTCATCAATTAAACATTCCGATCGTTGAATTTTTTCATATTCATGACGACATAATGTATTGATATTAACCAAAGCACTATAAATGCTGAGATTCGCTGAGCCAAATTCAATAAAATACGTTCCATCGCTAACGAACCAATGGTGAAAGCTGACGCCACAATGAGTGCTCAAAGTTCTTCCAAGCCATGCATATTTTCCTACTGCAAAGCACCCTGGTGTAGCTAAGGTTTTTCGACTAGCCTCTCGAGCATTTTCATCGTAGTGTAACGTATGCCATATCCATGTTTTCTTTTCAGCTTCCAAAAATGAAACTGAGCCTCCCATAGTCACTTGGTACAATCTGAAAACATGCATATGTTTGTCAACGGTGGAAAAGAGTATCTGCACTAGAAAATCAAGGAAGTTTTTGGATAGCTTATGTCATCGAGTGCGTGAGTAGTGTTCTAACCCCGTTACACCCGGTAATCATCCAAAACCAGATAATTCACTACGTTGCCATATGCAGTTGAATCGGTGTATCCAACTCTATACCTAAATAGAAGTGCATCCAGGAAAACTGAGGAATGTGAGTGGATTTGGTGTATCTGTCACAGTTACCATGAGACTTTAGTTAAGTTTGGAATGCGGGAAAAAAATTAAGGACAAAAATAAGAAGAATAAAAATATCTGTTTTTCTTTCTCTACGCCTTCTATATCCCCGAAATGAAAAAGTCTGTAGATCGAAAAATAAAGTCGTCTTTTTTTCTAATTTTTCAACGCTCGGCTGTTCGAAAACAGTTTATTGGTTTAACGCAAGTAAAACTATTTGCTTTTCTCTCTCTACAACTCCTATATCCCCGAAATGAAAAAGTCTATCGATCGAAAAATAAAATCGTCTTTTTTTCTGATTTGGCAAAGTCTCGCATGTCCTGCTACTCGAATAAAATCATATATGTAAAAAAATTCATCGTTTTTTTTCTCTGCATAAAATTTCAATGTCCTGTATACCCTCGCATTGAAAAAAATCAGAGTCAGCATAACCAATGGTAATAAAACAAAATTTTTCTTTATTATTTTCAATCTTTCGCCGAAACAGCAACATATGATCAATTGTAAAAACTTTTCTTTTCTATTTTATTGAATTCTCAATGATCTTTCGGAATTTCGAAATATTTTCGTACACAATTATAGATTCTATTTTTTTCTCTTTAAAACATGAAAAAAATATTGACTTAGATATTATTTTGATACTCACGTAGAATCCAATCCTAACTAAATTCTTTAACCAACTGCGACATATCTAGCTCTATACCCAAGTCAGTGTGTGTCGGGAAGCTGAGGAACGTCAGCGGATTTGGCGTATCCAGCTATCACCCTCACCCTTAAGATGCAACAATTGATGGAGGTATTTATGCTGCAAAAGTAATCTTTTTATACAACAACTTTTTTTTACCACTAAAAACGAAAATTTTTCTCCAATACGTCACATGACGCACGACATCTAGTAATCATGACTCAGTAGATGTGCTTTTTCCATGTATTATTTATGTGAATCATGGCTAAATGAGTACAGCAAAGCTATCGTTTCATATGGTGGATAATAACTTTTGAAACTATCCTTTTGTTCGGTTAAAGATTTATACTTGAATTGTTTACAAAATAGATGCATTATTCGATGCAAGTCTACTCATTTCATTATATTTCCTTCATTCCATGTATGCATTTTTACTCCACCGTCCTTTTATCATGAGTAATAGTTTGCCTGTATTGGCAAGACGAAAAATAATGTTATGATTCATTATCTCGCTTAATACATAAGGATAAAAATGCTGTCTTATCTCACGCACAGTTATGTTGGAAATTTTATACAAAGTGAACAATGTCAGAACGATACCAAATGAGCCAACAAGTAAAACGTGGTTGATCGCAAAAACGCCCAGATTTTATTAATAAAGATGTCATAGTGGAAAACGAACTGACCAGAAAGAAAAAGCTACATTCTTCAGTTTTTAATAAATCTCTTGTTTTCGCTGAACTTTATCGAATTGTGTCAAGAAAGTTTCCTGCGTATTTTTAATTGATAAGTAGTATTTATGAATTACAGTTGCAGAGAAAGCTTCGAAGAATCCATTCGATAGAAAAATCAAAACAACAACAAAGATAACCTTGTGAAAAGTATTGGACGAAAACAAAATAATGACACATCGCAATAATGTTTACGCTTCGACTGTAGAAAGTAACGCTTGATTTCACATTAGTCAACGGAAATCTTTTTTTTTATACACTCGCAATGGGAATATATCTTCATTTGTTGATGATTTTCAACTTTTGAGAGGTGTAATATGTCTTGGAAAGAGAAACTACGTCGTTCATCAACAGAAAAATCCTCGCCACCATCATCGTCAATTAGAAAAGGAGGTAACGAACTTTCGAATACATTCGTTCCCAACGAAATCCAAGAGAACAATATTTCAATCCCATCATCAGCCTCGACAGCTCATCCACTACAACCAGTTGCTTCCTTCTCCGCCTTAGGTACTTCCGCTCAACAATGGGCATATCAGCGAGGTGCCCAATCAGCACTTGCGATTACAGATCAAATTGAAGCTGATATACGAGAGGCTAGAAATATCATCGCTAATTATTCTATCGAACCCTTAGAATTTTTGCATCTCGGTAAGTCAATCAAACATAATCGTCTCATGAGACTATTCAAACAAGAATTTTAGTTGATCGTTGGATTCAGCAACTTCTGAACGAATTTCTACAACTACGCGAGCATTTCAAACATCAATTGNGGTGTTTGGCCTCCATTATTTCCTACGAATCCTGCAGCGCCACCAGCCGAAGAACCCGATGATCTTCTTCCTGTGAAACCACTCAACATGAAAGCAGCGGATTCGGCGGCTAAATTTACGGCTTTGAGCATGCCACCAACGAAATCCCGTAGTATAGCTTTGTATCCCGTCGGTATATCATTCAAGGCTTTGTAATAGACTGATTCAGCTCTATTCGCTGCCTCAGTCGCTTGTTTATGATATTCAGCGCGTATTTTCTCTTGTTTCTCTAGGCCTTCCTTCTGCTCGCGCAGTACTTGCATTTCTCTTTCATTTTGTTCCACGTGTTGTATATGATTGCTTTCTGTTTCCGCTGTGGACTGAATCACTTCTGCAAGAAGGTCCATTACTCGCTCGAATTCTCTCCTTGTCTTGTTTGTTTCTGCGACACATTCATTACCGGTATCTTCAATATTTTTCAAGACTCGGGGTAATAAACGAGCTATAGTACGTTGTGGAAATTTTCCAGCAAGAAGTTTCAGTGCAGTTCTGATATGCTTTGGTATTTGAATCATTCTCAGCTGGATCATGTGCATCGTTGAATCACCGCTCAAAAATGCTTTGTAGCCTTCTGCAATACAAAGAGAACCGTATGCATTAAAACTCGTCACAAATTGAGCTTCGTGTTTTACCATGTGACAATTGTAAAAGTGTGGCTCGAAACGAATCCGGGCGTTGAATATAAGTAAATGTACGATTTGGTGAAAATGCACGAAGAGATACTTCCTTTGTGCTAGAAACAATAAGTAACTGTGCTAATAACTGTATTGTCATAGGTGCAACGAGCATTGATTCTTCCCAACTAGTGTCAACTTCAATTCTTTCCATTAAAGCGTTGAGAATCGGCTTTTTCAATGTTGAATCAAGATCTTTAAAAAAAGTCGAATATCGATGTTAACCCATGTGTAGAGATTGATGCTTACCTTTTGTTTCTCGAACGCTAGGTGTATGAGAATACACATATCCCATGTTCAAAAGAAAGACTATTCCAATAAAAATACTGGACATGATTCAGTGCGCAGAAATAATTTTTTTTGTAAGTGTTTCTGTCTCGTTGACATATCCGTGATATTTATACATATCAGAACTTCATACATAGAATGGATGGGAATTCCCATCTTATGTTCTGTATGAAATATTGTTATTCTGGGATAAATGATATTCTTATCTACTGTGACGAAAGAAACAGAAAAGAAAAGTATACAACAACTGTCATTTAGGCTATATGTACGATAATATTGTATGGGAAAGAAAATCATGTACCCAGCACAAAAACGAATGAATTATTACGAAGCTAATTTCATCTTAATGTTGATAGTCGGGATAATACAACGAGAAAAAGTGTTTCTCCACCGGGAGAACGATACTCTCTTATCATCCTCATTCACTAGTTCGATATAATTCTAATGTATCTTAAGTAAAGACAAAGTTTTTATGTTGGCAAATTGAAGAATGAAGAATCACTTGAAACACCGCCGAGACATGTTCCTTGCATTGAAAAAGCCACTGAAGCAATCGCCACATTGTTAAATGAATGTAAAAAAACAAACTATCGTAAATGAGTAATATCTTTTTCCAAATGACAGCCACCAATGAATTGATCGCGTCTACATTCTTCGAAACCAATAGTTATTCGACATTTGATGAACTTTTTATAACATGTCGAAAAATAATTTCATTGACATTGTTTCGAATTTCGATTAAATTAACATACTGAACAGATTCGCATAGAATATGAGAAATTTTATCGAAACATACCATGGAGAAGGTTATCGATTGTGTAAGGTACATCTATTGGAAATATTTTGAAAGTTTAGCGTTACTGCCTGGATATTGTTTGTAATACGTGGCATAATATAAAATAAAAATAACGAATAATAGATTCGTATATACTAATGGATAATAATCAAAAGATAAGACAAGTGACCTTAAATAGTTGTTACCGATTTTGGTTATAGAAAAAAGCAATTTTAGTGTAGGTTCAACTTTGTTCAGGATGAATAATTCGCCTAGTGAGTCTGTTCGTTGAAGTAAAGTTTTCATTTCGCGAATGGTAATGAAGATGAATAGTACTATATGAAACAATCTAAGAATGGAAAAGATCAAATAGATCGCGGATTAAACACGAAGTTAAGAGCGACGGTTCATCGTTTTTCATAGCAACGCGTACGAACTGTACCGTTTCTCCGTTTGATGACTGTTTGTCATTTGACGTTTTTCTTTTTCGAAGTAAGATAAAAGTTTTTTTTTTCTATTCCTCGAGTAAATAATAAAAACAGTGAATGAATAATGTTTTTTCATTTTTCTTTGACGCCTCATGCGCTTTTTTCTTCAAAGCGAACGATTAAAGGTGAGTATTTATTATGAATACCGTGGCGTTGATTGTCTTGCACCACAATGATTAAAATATACTGCCGACATAAATTTTGATCGATCAATGAGAAAACCGTACGACGTTGTCTATTTATTTTAGTGTAGTTGAAACAGAACAATTCAATTTCGACATCATGTCAAAGCACTACGGTAAGATCGATTTTCTCGCTATATGAACGATAAGTTTTCACTTCAGGTATTTGCTGCGATGGTTGCAATGCAAATGAATTTTCTTCGATTCGTTATAAATGTCAAATCTGTCCAGACTACGATCTATGTTCGACGTGTTATAACACTAAGAAAGAGACACAGAGTCATTTGAACTCACATAGAATGATCGAGATTGGATTACCAGCAGTGAAGAAGTCAGATTCACTCGCGCAAAAACACACGGATCAAATGAATCAACTCGAAGCTGCATATTTATCAAGTAACTATTCATTTTCACTTCATTTCGATGAATACGTTTTTCTAATCACATCGTAGGGTTCTCATCGAATATATCTACTGATAGTATTCGAAAGAAAACACTCTCAAGATCAACTGAAATGCTCGATAGAGAAGTTCGAACGAAGATGATCTCGTCGACAGAGACGCTTGATAAACGTGTTACTAGTGAAAGTTGGTCGAAGATGGTCTCATCGACGGAATCTCTTAATGAGAAGTCAACCCGAGTGAAAATGTTCGCATCAACTGAGAAACTGACCGAACGATCAATCGCGGATAATCGAAGAGACACACGACCATTTTTAGTACCCACAACTGATAATCGAGCGAAGACAACTGTGTTCTCAGTTGAACATTTGGAGAAGTTCTCGTATAATGAATTACATGAATTTTTAATCCAACATGATGAAAGCCTTCGTTCACTAGCAGAAAAATGCAAAAAGGAACGAGTCTCTGGCCTTGATCTGATGAATTTCGAAGACGATGATTATAAAAACTTGATGATTACCTACGGAGAAAAGAAAAAGCTTAAATTATTAATCGAACAAAAGAAATCCAAATTGACTTCTCCTTCTGCCGCAAATTCTGCACAAGAGCAAGCTGAGCTAAATCATTTGCGACAAACGCTGCAAACTTACAATCAAGAAATTCAAGAAAAACACGAGGTAATCCAACGACTTGAGGAAATCGCCATAAAACGAGATCAATACGCACAAAAACGAGCTCTCATCATTAAAGAATTGCAAATCACATTAGAACAACAGAGTGCTCAACATTCATTAGTACAAAAACTAGTGCAACAGTTATCTTCTACTACTTCATCTGCAAAAAATGACTTTTCTCAATTGACACCGGTAGTTCAAGACCAATTGTTAAATATACCTGAGAATGCTACAAAAATTCCGATTGTTCCATTAAGTTCATCAACTGTAGAGATTCCTATAATTCAATCGAATACACCGATAGTCATTGAGTTAGATCAAAGTATACCACATATTCCAACGACAAAAATGTCCCTTCCAAATTCGTCTACAGGTCCGCATTCTTCCAGTGTTCATTTCTTAACGTTCTATCATCCCGATAAAAATGCTCTGGTGACAAAACCAGTTATTCATGATCCGTATGATATGAACAATTACGGAACACATAAATTAATAATCTACTCCGAAGATTCGCAGCACATTATTACCGAAACATTATTAAATGTTATTCCGGAAATCGAAATATGTGTTCCGAAACAATTCGCTATTCGCGATTCTGTTAACAACGTCGTCAGTGGAGGAATTATCACTTTGAAATCTGTTAACGAAGAATCCGTACTTTTTACCGGTACAACAGATCAGGATGGTTTGATAATGCTACCCGATAATCTTCCCGATGGGTCATATCGAGTGGAAATTCATTCGCCAAATAACCCAAAACTTCAACATTTGAAATTCGTCATGGTGATTTTTCAAAATCGACGACAGAATGTTTTGAATAAGTTCATCGGACGAAGTGACTTGGAATCCAATCAAATACATATTGTGCTCGAATGGAACGCTGAGCCACGGGATTTGGACTCACATTTGTACTCATCCGACGGACGACATGTTTATTTTCAAAATAAAGACGATCGAGATATGACATTGGACTGTGATGTAACAACTGGCTTCGGTCCAGAAACGATTACATTTACTTTTCAGCCGAATTTGAAATACGTCTATGCTGTTCATCGTTATTCACCAGAACCAAAATTGACGCAATCGAAAGCAAAAGTTACATTTTATCTAGATGCGGAAAAGACGCAAATCAGTAAAGTTGGATCTCAGGACAAGTTGACCAATAGTGAAACACATTACATACCAGAAATAACACGTCCCAATGCGACATTTTGGATTGTCTGCATGATTGATGGTTCGACGAAACAAATTCGATTCTTTCCAAATACTTTTGAAGAACATAATAGTTTTGATACTGATCTCATTGGCAGAACAATTTTTCTTTCGGATTGCTAAATCAAGATAATAAAAAATGCATTAGAACAATTCTTTGCATATCAATAGAGTATTCGACTTGTCAACTGACATCCGTTTCTACATGAAAGCATGATACATCGATTAGTAAAGATTTATTCAAAAGTTTCTTGAGTTAAAAGGAAGATATACAATTATTTAATGATGTTGCAGAAACTAAAACATACGAATTCTTTTCTAAAAAATAAATATTCCAATTTCTTCATCTTCACTAGTTCTTTCATAAGTATGGCACTTCGTTAATCACCATTATAAAATAGTGCATGACCATGCGTCTGTTAATTTGATTGGTGGCGTTCTATGTTCCAAAGTTAGGAGCGGTTTTAAAGTTTCGTATGAACGACGAATTGCCTCGATACCAGCTTCATTACATGTTTCTGCACGTGGAAAGCCTACATAAACTACGGAACTGTACGGCATGCTTGTTTCAATCACCTTTCTTTCGGTGCAAATTAGGCCAAGTTTTCTTATCGCTTGCTGTCGTAACTCACTTTGTAGGGCAGCATCCGTGTTTTCTGCTTTTGTAAAGACAAAAAGAAATCGACCAGGGTGCGAACGATAATTCAGCCAGTCTAAAACGCGTCTGACATTTGTTTCAACAGCGGATATGATTCGATCAGTTGATAGTACGACAATAACAGCATGAATTATTTTAAAATTGCGACTTACTCGACCTTTAATAAGATGAAAAATCTCATCATCAGTAAATCGCGTATCACACAGGCCGATTGTGTCAATGACTAAAACAGTTCGACGGGTTTTAACAACAGTCCTATTGTTCTGATCTTTGTTATCAGGAGAGACTGATGTGATATCACCTTGTCCGCGTATGAACACGATTTCTGGTGTTACACCTATATGACTAATTCTTGATTCACAAATTACTTGATTGAAAATCACGTTGATTAAATGACTTTTTCCAGCACCGGTAGGACCTATGATTAACACATTATACGTTGGTTCATCAGCATCAAGATAATAATCAACTTGTTTTGGAACATAGTACGGCTGTAAAAATGAGTAAATGTGCTCTCCACTTGCATTCACTTTATTAGTCAAAGCTCGAATTCGAACATCGACAGGAAATGTATTCACCAGTCGTATCTGATCGCTCATCATGTAATCACGAAAGGCGCTCATTAACAACCCGCCACTTTCCATCTGACTACTTGTCCATCTTCCATACAAAACATAATTGGCAACATGTTCGCAATTACGAAGACATAACGAATAATTTGATAAACCAACAATCTGATCCATTCGTCGTCGCATGTTTTCATCGATTAAACATTCCGATCGTTGAATTTTCTCATATTCATGTCGAGATAATGTATTGATATTAACCAAAGCACTGTAAATATTTAGATTCGCTGAGCCAAATTCAATAAAATATGTTCCATCGCTAACGAACCAATGCTGGAAGCTGACGCCACAATGAGTGCTTGAAGTTCTCCCAAGCCATGCATATTTTCCTACTGCAAAGCATCCCGATGTAGCTAAGGTTTTTCGACTAGCCTCTCGAGCATTTTCATCGTAGTGTAGCGTATGCCATATCCATGTTTTCTTTTCAGCTTCCAAGAACGAAATTGAGCCTCCCATGATCACTTGGTACAATCTGAAAACATGTATATGTTTGCCAACGGTGGGAAAAAAGTATCTGCACTAGAAAATCAAGTAAGTTTTTGGATAGCTTTTGCCATCGGGTGCGTTGTTGTTGAAATTAGTCAACGAATTACGTGTGATTGATGAGTAATCGGATACAACATGTATATTTTGCGATGTTTCGAAACATTTTAAGGATTTATTTCAAGATGTTTTCAATAAAGATTCATGGTATAAGAGATGCAACATGAGAGGATTCAAGGTCAACCATTTAATCCTTGAAGGTATTCAAAACATCGAAACGTATGTATCTAATAATTAATTACTCACCAACTACATATAATTCGGCTACTTAGACAAAGTAATCTTTCAATAGCCCTTATATGCAACAATAGATGCAGGTATTTATTGACGGAAAAGTCACCATTTTTGTACGACAGCGTTCGTTTATCACTAAAACAAAAAAAATTTCCAACACGTCATACGGCTGATGACATGTAGTAATTATGACTCAGTAACTGTGTTTTTTCCATGTATTATTTATGTAATCATGGCCCATCATCAATATATGAGTAAACGAAAATTATCATTTCATATGATAGATAATAACTTTTGAAACTATCCTTTTGTTCTGTTAAAGATTCATACTTGAATTGCTTGCAAAATGAAAGTATTATTCGATGCAAGGCTACTCATTTCATCATATGTCCTTCACTCCATGTATGCATTTTTACTCCACCGTCCTTTTATCATGAGTAATAGTCTGCCTGTATTGACACGACGAAAGATAAAGCTATGATTCATTATCTCAGGCACAGTTATATTGGAAGTTGTATACAAAGTGAATAATGTCAGAACGATACCAACTGAGCCAACAAGTAAAACGTGGTTGATCGCAAAAACTCACTGATTTTGTTAATAAAGATGTCATGGTGGAAAACAAACTGACCAGGAAGAAAAAGCTGCGTTCTTCAGTTTTTAATAAATCTCTTGTTTTCGTTGAACTTTATCGAATTGTGCCAAGAAATTTTCCTGTGTATTTTTAATTGATAAGTAGTATTTATGAATTACAGTTGCAGAGAAAGCTTCGAAGAATCCATTCGATAGAAAAATCAAAACAACAACAAAAATAACCTTGTGAAAAGTATTGGACGAAAACAAAATAATGACACATCGCAATAATGTTTACGCTTCGACTGTAGAAAGTAACGCTCGATTTCACATTAGTCTACGGAAATTTTTTTTTTGTCATACACTCGCAATGGGAATGTATCTACATTTGTTGATGATTTTCAACTTCTGAGAGGTGCAATATGTCTTGGAAAGAGAAGTTACGTCGTTCATCAACAGAAAAATCTTCGCCACCATCATCGTCAATTAGAAAAGGAGGTATCGAGCTTTCGAATTCATTCGTTCCCAACGAAATCCAAGAGAACACTATTTCAACCCCATCGTCAACCTCGACAGTTCATCCACTACAACCAGTTGCTTCTTTCTCCGCCTTAGGTACCTCTGCTCAACAGTGGGCATATCAGAGAGGTGCCCAATCAGCACTAGCAACTACAGATCAAATTGAAGCTGATATACGAGAGGCTAGAAATATCATCGCTAATTATTCTATCGAATCCTTAGAACTCTTGCATCTCGGTAAGTCGATCAAAGATAATCGTCTCCTGCGATCGTATTCAAACGATACTTTTTAGTTGATCGTTGGATTCAGCAACTTCTGAACGAATTTCTACAACAACGCGAACATTTCAAACATCAATTGATGGAAATATGGGCGAAAGAAGATCTGACAAGTACTCAATACGATGACAACGAACGACTACGAAAAGTTTACACGGCATTAATTCAATTAGAAAAGGCTCGTGATGGTATTCTCTCACGCGACTCTTTCGACGAATTATACAATTTTCTCGGCAAAATCAATGACAATAACTTCTCCGAAATGAAAGAAAAGTTCAATTCAGTGCTTGAACATTATCTCAATATTCTACACCATTTGAGCATCATAGACAAAGAACTGAAGTTCGGTAATTATGATAATCATGTGTTCGATATCAAAGATAAATTATTAAGACTAAAAAAGCGATTCGACAAAGAATATCATACGATTTGCATTGTCGGATTAGAAAAGGCAGGCAAATCGACATTTATCAATGCACTGCTTGGTCATGAGCTTCTTCCAACAGCGAGCGAACGTTGTACGCAGATCCGTACTGTTATTAAGCCATTTCTTCAAACCAATGATGCTCAACTATGCGCAAAGATTCACTTTTATGACGATAATCATTTCCGTGTGCTTTTCGAGAAAATGGCCAAGAAAAGCAATGAAACCGAACAGCAGTTTCTTCATCGTAAAGACGAAGTTTTACGGAAAAGAGAAAGTTTAAAAACGAAATTTCCCGAAGAAAATCTGTGTATCGATGCGCACAATGAACGTGCGTCGTTCATCAAACAACTAAATGATTACATTACCGGAGAAGTGTATGTGAACATTGTTAAAGAAGTGGAGATTTATACAAGTAAACTTCCAGGTATGGATGATTGATTCAAAAGAAAACAAGATTGTTTATTACCTATTTTTAGGAAAGAACTATGAACTTCTCGATGTCCCAGGCTTTGATTCACCTATCAAAGAACATCGTGATGCTGCTATTGAAGCGATTCGATCCGCTGATACATTTCTTTTTCTTACCAGTGGCCAACAACCAAGCTTAACAGGCCCACAAATTAATCTTCTTCAAGAAATTCAGCAGAATCATCTCGAAGCCATGCAACGTGCTTTCGGAATCATCACCAAACTTGATCTTTGCCAAACAGCAGCCATGTATCAAGAGCACTATGAGAAAACATTTGCCGAACTCATAGAAAAGCGCTTCAAACCAGATCGTATCTACGCAACTTGTTCGCGACTTGAAATTTCCAACGACAACTCCGAAGAATTTCACGTCATCTCTCGGAAACTGCAAAGCTTTGGTGATAATTTAACTGGTGGGTTCCAGCGATGTCGAGATAGTTTAAATAAATTCATCGAATGGGATCTACCGAAAACACATTTAAAGCAACTGATTGATGTGGGCAAAATGAAACTGCTCCAGCTAATTCACGAGCGTATCGAAAAAATCAAAGACAAACGAATTTTGCCAGAAAATCTGACAAGCATCTCAATCGAGGAGTACATTACGCAAAAAACAATGAAAGATTGGGATAAAACTTATTATAATGATTTCTTTCAACCAATTTTCGATCACGCGAATTATTGGCATACGATGATTGTGACGAAAGAACGCGCGATATTTATTGAAGATGTTAAACAGAAGTTTCGTGAAACATTTCATGATGTGACAAAGGAATTTATGCAGCAAAAGTTTCCTATTGAACAATTAGCCTGTGAACAATACACAGCATCAAAATTACAGTTGAACATTCATCCTATTGATAATCAAATTCGAGAAAAATTAACTTTCGATTTGGAAAATCATATGGACACAACGGCGAAAATTCTCGCCGAATATTTATATTATAAATACATTTGCGAATTAGAAAATATTCTCAATAAGATATCATCACCCACACAAGATCTATATCGAACGAAGTTAACATTAGAAAAATGCATTTATCAAGTTCATGCATTGGTTCTGAGAGTCTGTCGACCAGTCATTACTGCAACTTTACGATATTCATATTTAGATCTGTCTGCGAAACAAGACGCAATTAATGAATTGATTTACATTGCGCCGACTGTTGCTTTCAACATAGCCAATATTCCAGATTCGGACGACAACGGTGATTTGCTTGGAACACAAATACTTGCGTCAGCAGAATCGTTAGCTGATAGAAGTGAAATGACCACATCGATTATCAGGACACTTTTTAAGAAGTAACGAGATATGGTTTCTCAGGTGACTTATACGCGTACAGTCATGTTTTTTGTAGTTTAAAAGATAAATACTTCATGTTGAATTATATTTTTGTGACTAATGTTCGTCGAAATCTTCACTCTGTCAGTATGTATTTCAGATTTATTGTACCTATGTCGCAAATAATAACACCAAAGAAAGAAAATGAACATGATTTTCTTGTCGTGTGGTTACACGATGCAATGGACAACGATAATGAAGACTATCAAAACACACTTACACAACTTCGATGCATTACCACCGAAATCCATTCGTTCATCGATAGTGATCAGTGCATAGAATTCATTCTTGATGATACTGCTGACACGAAAGTATATCTGATCGTTTCCGTACAATCTGTTCAGCATTTTGTACCATGCATTCATGATATCTCACAAATCGAATCGATCTTCATCTTGTGCAACACTCATAGTCATAGTCCAGATGAACAATGGATGAACAAATGGTTCAAAGTAAAAGGTGTCTACACAGATATCGTAGATATTTGTCGACAAATAGTGCATCAGTATGAATACTGCACCATGTCTCTGAGTTTTGTTTCTCCTACTAGAGGATTAGATCAGTTAGATCCATCATTTATGTACACACAAATCATCAAAGAAATACTTCTCACCATCAAATTTGAGGATAAACACATCAAGGAATTCGTTAATTATTATTGTGATGCATTTGTAAATAACGAAACCGATCGGAATAAGGTGAAACAATTGGAAAAGAAATACCATCAGGAGTCGCCGATTTGGTGGTATACAACCGAGAGATTTCTATATGGAATGCTGAATCGTGCATTACGAGTGATGGACGGTGAAGTGATCACGTTGATGGGTTTTTTCATCAATGATCTTCATCGACACATTGATCAATTACACAAAAAACAATTTGACAATGGTTCTACCGTTGAAAACTTCACAGTTTGTCGTGGTCAAGGTTTGACAAAGAGAGATTTTGATGAATTGGTGAAGTCAAAGGGCGGACTGATGTCATTCAATAATTTCTTGTCTACTAGTAGAAACATTGATGTCTCTTTACTTTTCGCTTCAGCGAATGGAATGAACGAGAACATCGTAAGCGTTCTTTTCGTCATGGAAATCGATCCTCAACGGTCGACGGTAGTGTTTGCTTCGATTCGAGACATCAGTCAGTTTCCACAGGAAGATGAAATACTCTTTTCCATGCACAGCATCTTTCGTATACACGATATCAAGCCAATGGAAGGGAATACAAAAGTGCATCAAGTGGATTTGTCATTGACGAGCGACAATGATGAGGAATTGTGTACACTTACCGAACAAGTTCGTGAAGAAAGCTTCCCAAATGCAGAAGGCTGGTTCAGACTGGGCTTAGTACTAGCTCAAATGAAACAGTGTAATACAGCTGAGCGCATATACCGGGCTCTAGCTGATCAAAATCCTGAACTTGAACATGAGGCATTCATTAACAACCAACTCGGCTTGATAAAACACAATCAAGGACAGTATGAGCAGGCACTTGTAGTTTTTCAGAAATCTTTGAATATGTTACAAAGACTATTTCCTCACAATCATTCTAATATCGCTTCATCTTACAACAACATTGCTTTAGTCTATGCTGACATGGGAGATTATCCAAAAGCACTTTCGGCATTTGAAAAAATTCTTAAAATTCAACTACAATCACTTCCTCCTGACCATCTTGACATTGCTACCTTCCACAACAATATTGGTACTATGTGTAAAAACATGAGTAATTATCCCAAAGCCTTTTCATCACATCAGCAAGCTCTCCATATTCGACAACAATCGCTTCCTCCCAATCATCCGGACATAGCTGATTCGTACAATAACATTGGTAACGTGTATGCCGCTATAGGTGATTATCTAAAAGCACTTTCATCATACCGGCAAGCTCTTGAAATTTACCAACAATCACAACTTCCCAATCATCCGGACATTGCTAAATCGTATAATAACATTGGCAGTATATATAAAAATATGGGAGTTTACAATAAAGCACTTGAATCACATGAAGAAGCGCTCAAAATCCGACAGAAATCCCTGCCTTCCAATCATCTTGATATTGCCACATCGTATAACAACATTGGCAATGTATATATAGACATAGGCGATTATCCGAAAGCTCTCTCATCACATCAAAAAGCGCTGACTATTTGCAAACAATCACTTCCTTCTAATCATCCTTATATCTCTGATTCATACGATAGCATCGGTAATATATATTCTAATATGGGTGATTATCCAGAAGCACTCTCATCATATAAACAAGCGCTTGAAATCCAACAGAAATCACTTTCTTTGGACCATCCTCATATTTCCGCATCGTACAACAACATTGGTAATGCATATAAAGACATGGGCGACTATCCAAAAGCCATCTTATTCCATGAACAAGCTCTTAAACTTCGACAGCAATCACTTTCCCCCAATCATTCTGACATCGCTGATTCGTACAATAACATTGCAGTAGTGTACTCTGCTTTGGGTGATTATTCAAAAGCACTTGAATTATTTAAAAAATCCCTCAAAATCTGTCAACAATCACTCCCTTCCAATCATCTGGATACTGCTTCGTCCTACAACAATGTCGGTGCTGTGTATTTCGACATGGGTGACTATTCGAATGCCTATTTACATTATATGAGGGCCCTTCAAATTGGTCAGACAGCACTACCACCAACGCATCCTCATCTACAAATATACATAAGAAACGTCGACGAAGCAAGAAACAGATTGTGATTTGTGTTCGGCTTCTTCTATGAAGAATAGAATGGCATAGTGTTTCGATGGAAGCAGTAGTAAATTCAGTTGAAGTGAAGGTTGGGACGACTTTATCAACGATTGGCAGTACAGTAGATATTGACTTTTGACGAAATATCGTTTTTATAGGAATGAGCTTCTGTTCGTGAATTTTACAATAAATCGTAATGCTTGATTTTTTCAGATATATCAGTACTACTATGTTTGATACACGTACGTGCTGATGAATATAACTACTCTAATTCTTTATATTGCGTAGATATGTCAGTTAGATTGGAACGCACACTGAAACGAATCGACTCCTGAAAGTCGTATCATGCTCAAAGGCATCCTATGTACTCTTATATTCACAGGAATCCGGCAAAACTCGACAGGTTACTGTTCGGTCATCTAGAGATTCTGATTTATTCCGATGTCAGAATTCGTTGGTTAGAATTATGGCGAATTTTCTCGAGGTTCTGTTTGGAATTATGCAGGACTCACCTCGGAGTAGCATCAAGGGCGGATTCCAGGAGCTAAGCTCTCAGATTTTTTCAAAATTCTCAATAAAAGTTTATGATTTTCTCACAAATAAACAGGATTTCAAGGACTGAGGCCCCCTAAACCGAAAATCTTGGCGTCGCCTTCAGACTCACCGGATCCAATGTACTAATTTTGACTTCGAATAGATGAGTTGTCAATGTATCGAATTAAAACTATATCCAAGTCCTAGTATATATGAAACTTCTTGTACTCGGTTTTCTATTTTATGTTCGAACTCGAACTAAATATTTAGCAGAAAAATTTTTCTTTTTATTCTATCGTTTTATTAAATATTACATCAAGTATGACTTCGTCCAATATAAAAAAAAAAGTTTCATGAATAGCTATACGCTTGTTCACTGAATGAACTTGTCCTTCTGTTGATCGCTTAAGTTACCAAGTAACCACCATCAATGGGTAAACAAGCACCAGTGATCATTGAACTCTTATCAGAGAGCAGAAAGATTATTGGTTCAACCACTTCATGTATTTCTAGAAATCATCAAATATTTGCATAAATATATATGATACACAACGCTGCTTTCAGTTTTTACTCCCCCGGACCGTCTTTTTACATTTGTTACTATAATCTGTGTTCTTTTTCTTTCTCTACATGTTGTATTCTATTCTTCATTAATATGTCTTATCAAAAGTGGTGTTCTTATCGTTTATACACTGTCGAAGCTATACCTTTGATCGACACTGTTTTTCTTTTTCTATTTTTTTGCCGTCTCTATACTAAAAGAAGAATGTCACACACAAATGTATTTTGCATTACCTGCAAATCGACCCAAAGGTGTTTTAGCAAGTAATGGTGCCGATTGTTGCTGATTTTCCCATCCAGCTAGTAGATGTATAATTAGAAGGATTCAAATTTAAGGATAAACATATTTATACCTGCTTTGCCCATATCAGTGAGTACGACTGTTGGTTGAACGCTATTCACTCGAATCTATGTATAAGCCAACTTACAGAAATAAACTATTCTTTCATCTTTTTGCATACTTGATATGGACCAAGTTCACCCGCCATATTACGTGTAAATGCATCCATGCAAGCTTTTGTTCCAGAATATATCATGAACTTTTTGGCAGCAATCTCGGAAGCGATACTGGACACATTGACTACACTACCAGGCATACTGCGACTTATTAAATCTTTAGTTATTTCCTATAAATTACAAATGTATCGAAATACAAGCAACTGTTTGAACATGAAAACACTATTTGAAAGGTGATATCTTTTTCGAAGCAAGTGCATTTTGGTTAAATAATCTAAGGAGTTCTTATTTGATAGCAAATTCAAGAAAACTAATTGAATTAATTGTCATTTGTTCGTTTCTAGTTTACCTGAGTCATACTGATGACTGAACGCACATTTGTTTGAAATGATCTACAAATACGATACTTATGATCGACTAATAATTCACTATCAATAATACAAACTCGTCAAAATCTTCTCGCTTAATATTAAGAAAATCATTGAGCATCAATATTCCGGCGTTGTTCACCAAGAGTTGGATAGGTAAATAAGGTTTAATTGCAGTTTTAGTTGCAGTCCAATTTTTAACATCCACTGCTACAGGAACAATGTTTTGGTGCTAGAAACATAAAAGTAAATATTATTTTCCAAACAAAGATATAATAGATGCCGTTTTACTTCTTTGGCTAGATCTATAAGATAGTCTTCTGTTCTACCGATGGCAATAACGCGACAGCCTAGTTGAGCAAGACGAACTGCGATAGCTCGTCCAATACCTATCAATGATAAAATCCTGTGTTTATGGTTCGTCAGATTACTCAGTGTTACCTCTTCCTGCTCCTGTAACACAAGCCGTTTTATTTTCAAAGAAGTTACGCTCATCCAGGTTCGAATGGCTATCAAGATGCTCGTCAGTTACTGTTTTCGACGATGTCACGGTGGGCGTTAATTCACGCTTGGATGAAGTTACAGTTTTGGATGAACTTTTGACAAATAGGTTTGTTGAAACTGGGTGATGATTCGCTTGACTATTGCTACGATGTTGTGAGTCGTTTGCCGATTGTATCAAACTTGGAAACATGGTCTAAAATATCAATGGAACTAAACCAATTGTTGATCTCGTATATATATATATACGTTACAAATTTCCAGCAAGAATTCTTCTGGAAGAAAAGAAAACTTTTTTTCCCTTTTCTACTCTTATCGAAAAAGATTATTAATCTGATGGTGTCATGTATTATTAATGCGCAGCACGAATTTAAAAGCAAATAGGCAACTCGGAAGTGGATGAGTCAAACTTGTCTTAAGTATTATATACAGACATGTATGTTGGAAAAAACATTTATTAACTGTGCTATATCCACTTTTATAAAACCTCATATTCATTTCACATACACGCATTTTTTGACGAATCGTTCAATCAATTCATGGCGCAATACGACAATTGTGCTGCTGATTACGTCTTGGCAAAGAAAGACAGCTTTCGTGTCGACGTTGAATATTTCACATTTCTTCATCGTATGCTTTTACCAGTTTTTCAGCAACAAAATGCCAATGTGCAACAAGATCAATTGCTAGCTGGAAAACGTGTTCTTGATCTTGCCTGTGGTGATGGCCATTATACACGTAAGTGCGAATTAAACAAAGTTGAAAGGTATATGAATAATTCAAATCTCGTTCTGCTTTAGGCAAATTAAAAGAACATCTCGGTGCGTCCGAAGTTGTTGGTGTTGATATTAGTCAAGCTATGATTGATATTGCACGGGCTAAAGAACAAGCTCAACCGCTTGGAATTATTTATGAAGTAGCTGATGTTCAATCGCTTTCTTCACCAGCAGTTAAATATGATGTAATTACAGCTTTTTATTTACTGAATTTTGCTCGAACAAATGAAGAGCTAAAACGAATGGTGACTGCCACCAGCAACAATTTGGCTGATGGACAAACATTCTTTGCTATTATAACGAATGTTTGTGGTGATGAAAGTACATACAACAATGAAAAACATCGCAAATATGCATTCATGCGTGAAGCTAAGCTGAAAAATGGCTTCCTTTCCGATGGTGATGAAGTGAAATACACACATTTCAATGATAGAGATAAAACTTCATTTTCATATATAACTTATTATCTTTCGCCAAAAACATATGAACAAGTGTTTAAAGAAGCTGGCTTCAAGACATTTCAGTGGGTGCCATTTGAAAGTGATCCTAAAGTTGAAGATCGAGCCTTCTACGATGATTTTGTTCAATATGCACCAGCGATTGGAATCATCGCATCAAAATAACTAAACTTATACATAAAATAATCAATTTTAAACACGAATAAACTGATTGTTTCTCTCGATATTTGTTTTTGTTTTAAAAATATCTCAAGAAAATATGTACTCAATAAATTCTAAACGAATAAAATAATACAATACATTCAAGTTGAACAATGCCCATTGTATAGATTACTTTACTTCCGTCCTTGAGAACAAATGTAACTATGCAGTTTTGTAAGAAAATCGTTTTAAACGTGAGAGTAGTTCAAAGTAACTATTTTCCGTTTCTAAGTAAACTCAACAAACTACAGGCACCTTGTATCAATATTTACGTCAAACTATTCTCTTTTTTTTACATATCTTGCTGCATGGCAGTATTGACACGAAGATAACGATAAGATGTTCTAAAACTGGATATCGACACATGTTATATTGCAAAAAAAATCTTAAGTCACGAGAAAACGTTTTAGGAAGTAAAGTATGATTTATTTTGTAATTTTATGTTAAAGAGTACGTGAAAAGCGCTGTGGGTATGCGCCTATATGTTCTTGTATTTTATTTCTTTTATAGTCAAAATAAAGAAGAAAGTAAAAAGCTTTTTTTTATGTTGATTGCTTGGCTAAATATTCTTTAGCACGTTGCCCTACAAATTGTCGGCCAGGATTGTTCTCTTCTCCATTGCTATTAATCCATTCGTCAGGCTTGAATAAATCAAAAAGACCAACACGAATAAGAACAGGCACACATCGTTCAAGTTCAATTCGAGCTTCATCATCTTTTTTGTTTTCTCCCTTATTGAATCGTTCAATATTTTTTAGCATTGCAGCAACAGTACCCGATTGCACTGAGCTACCGTCTTTTAGTTGAATAGCAGGTAACGAAGCGCCATCGGCAACATTCAAAATACGACAATAGGTCGCTGCTACATTATCATTTGCAGTTGAATCATCTATGAAAGAAAGTCAAGAATAGTTTTCGTCAGCAATCATATAATATTTATGAGAATAATCGTTCATACAGAATCCGACAAATGTTATAAGTGCTTAAGGCTATAATAGAATACAGCTGAAAGCGATATTCATAAAATTTGTAGTAGCTGACTTGAATTTTACTTATGCAATCCAACACATATGCGTGGTCAACAATTCTATAGGATTATGTAAGATGATCGGTAGCGGGATCCAACGAGATCGAGAGTGTCGATACATCTTTAGTAATCGGATTCCTTATCGGATTTGTGGAACTGAGTTTCTAGATAGCAAATCTTTTCTTACCAGAATTACTTGGAGTACTCTGTAGATTATTATTCATCGTTGTATCTTCGGAATTGTTCGTTATGTGAGCCATGATAATTTGTTTGTTAATGTGAATACTGAATTTTTCACAATGTCTTTATGGTTGCAGTTTAAATTGGCATTTTCCAAGCAAGACAACCATGGTGGGCGTAATGGTGCCTATTCTTCTGCAAATAGTCAATGAGTAATTATATATTATATCTCACTTCCAATGAATAATTCGCCTACTTTTATAAAAAGGACAAAAACAAAAATGACCTACTTCCGCATCAGAAAAATGACCTTACTCATTCTTATTACGTCTTCATGTCAGCTTTTACCCACAACTCTTATTTGCTAACAATGACGTAAAAGACTTTGGAAATTTTTTTCCTACTTCAAAGATGAAACATACTTGGAAACTTTAATCGTCGTACTATGCCAAAAAACTATAAATTAGTTTTCGTTTGCAAGTTTTTTCGTTTAAAAGAGTCTTTTAACATGTCTGAATCCGATTATCAAGAAATTCCCAATCGTCCGTGGCAAAAATCGACACTTATCGAGCAAAACAATAAGAACGATCATGTAATTATTACAATCAGTCCGTCTCAATTCCGTTCACTATTATCATCACCTAATGCTAGTATGGCTTTGGCTCGTCACATTGTCAGTTATGTTCTTCATCAAATCTCCGTATCAGATATTATTATTCTCATTGCTGATGAAATTCAAAAATACAATGTTGCAGTATTTGAACATAAAAATGCACAAAGTTCTCTTAAAACAGCCAAAGCACAAGGGGAAAAAATATCTAGTTTATTTTCCCGAGTACGTGCTGACCTATCACTGGATGATTCTCAAAAAATAAAAATCATACACTGGGAAGATATGGTTTCATCAAGTAATTACGATGCACGTGTTCAACATATCCGTCAATATATCGACAATAATCAATCCCAATGCATTCCATTGATTGACGTGGTAAAATACATATGATTTAGTTCGATCTAGATACGATTTTATATCATCATTATTTTTAGGTGTGTAATGAATACGCTCGAGCACGTAATCCGAACAAGAACCTCAAGCAGAAAAATCTTTTTTTCTTGCGTGAGTATGTAATGCATGAATTACCTGCATTACTCGATGGAATTGAATATGGAGGAAATACATACAAATTTATGCTTCATCCAGTGTTGAAAACGAACAGTTACAACGGATATGATCAGCGTGAAGCAATGGTCAATTTACTTAACTATATGCGAGAATATTATTTACCGTCAACTGAAAATCCAACTTTGATTTGCCATATCTTTGACATCGAGTTTTCAAATGCATTGATTGCTACCAATGACGAATCACAAACTGATCCATCAGATTCTTCAACAACAACTCAATCTGATTTAGATTGTGAGCGACCAGAAACATCGAACACATCGATCCAAAACATCGACATCATTTCTGGTCATCTATGGTTAACCTTAATTATGCTGGTAAATGATTGCTTTTCATATTAATTCTCATTTCTTGTTTTCTATCGATTTAGTTAGCAATATTATTTATTAATCGCTTCTGGTTACCCATATTTTGCGTCAGTGTGGCTACCTGTAGTCTGTTATATCTTTATATGTTATTAATACAACAAATATCAAAACGTGGGCAATGGCTGTCAACTTCAACTGAGCAATCGATTTTGGGTACCGACTATTGTTCATTTTTTGGAGATTTACCGGCTATTCAAGAGTGTCAAAATGGCTATTTTTTATACAATTTGCGAATTGAGTTAGGCCGTCCCCGTGCATATCGAATTTGGATGGGCCCAGAACCGGCTTTGATGTTAGCTCATCCTCAATCGGTTAAAGACTTCTGGGAACAACATAAAGAGAAAGAAGTTGAACGCGATGTTCATCTTGGCTGGCCATTAGAAATGCTTATGAGTCATGGTGTAGGATTTCGTTCCATGGATGATCGAAGTCGAATTACAAAATATTTTCACAACTGTTTTGGATCGAGTCAAGTTCGATGCTTTGATAAACACTTAGAAACAACAATTATGAATTGGTTTCATCAATCTAATGATTTGACTTCTTTAAATTATAAAGACATCAAATATTTAGCACATGATGCAGGTGTACATCTATTTCTCGGCCCAATTGGCTTTGATCATTTAAATGAACTACACTCGTTAGTTGATCAACTTGGAGAATTAATGACAGAAGCGTTTGATGCTCGATGGACTAATTTACCTGTTATTGGCTATTATTTCTTACCAAGATCTTATAAATTAAGAAAACGTATTCGTCGATTTAATCAACAAATTCGAAATGTTCTTTTGAAGGTAAGATCAGTTTGAGTATACAGAGAAAAAACAGAAATTTCGTCTCATGAATCATAAAACAAATGTATCTTTTTTCTTTTCCATTAGATTATCAATGCTTATCGTCTAACTCCTGATAACGACGACGAAAACGAAAATATTTCTCTTTTAGCACGTTTTGCACGAGATGCTAATCCTTCAATTACATTTGATGAGTTAACTGACACAATTGTAGAAGGTTTATTGGCACCAAACGACGGTACTGCTGGAACATTTATGTATACATTATTACTACTGGCAATGAATCCACATATTCAAAATAACGCCAGAGAAATGCTTCAAAATGCGCAAGGTAAATATTTGTTCATACGATAGCGTCAATATAATACATTTTTATTTGTTATAGATCTCACATTAAAATCTATCGAAAATTTCAAATATTTGGATCAAATTCTAAATGAATGTCAACGTTTATTTCCTATTTTTATGTTTAATGTGCCTGAATTTGCAAGTCAAGAAATGACAGTCAGTGGTGTACGTATACCAAAAAATACTATGGTCATGTTAGATGTGATGTCATTGAATCGTAACGAGGAGACATGGGGACCAGATCCATTAAGTTTTCGTCCGGAGCGTTTCGATCCACCCGTTTCACCGATGACAATCAAATCTTATCATGGATTTGGTAATGGTCACTTTCGACGATGTCTTGGCCAATACATGATTAAGAGTTTACATAAACTCTTTCTTGTCCATCTTTTAACTCGAAAACAAGTACAACTACATACCAATATTGCAAGTATCAACGAAATCGAGAGATTTCGTTTGCCATTTATTTACATCCCTAATCAATCAGTGAAACTTCTACAACTATAATCAACATAAGGGACATCTGTGAAACTTTTTGTTTTAATCTCGAAACTGCAAGTCGAGAAAATTATATATATATATGAATAAATAAATGAAATAATCAATTCAAAATACGAGCGATTATATAAACAAAATTGATATCTTTCGCAGAGAAAAGATTGACAAAGCCTTGAATTCACAGATAACATTTGCACACAGTATAGTTATCCAGATTTATATATCAGTAATGCATATGATTAATGAAATTTGCTCTTTTTTAAAGATGCTGGAGACTTGGACCTCGCGGGAAAATCGATGACAGTATGAACTAGCTGTAATCCATAGAACTTTTCAAGAAAAATCTATGTGCTCTAGCTAGCCGGAAAAACTCCATTAAATCACTAATCATTATGGACGAAGTAAACATCATCTTGTATATGAGCTTTTTAATTTCGTCACATAGGATTTATTTTTCTTAAAAATCACATTCGTCAACACATTCTATAATAATTATACAAATTTAAGTTCAATCCTTTCATCCATTGCTGTGTTTCTTTTAACACTGTTTGAACTAGATTATACTTAGACGACTGAAAAAATATTGACTGTGTATAATGAGAGAATAGAGCAACAAGGAGAAATTTGTGACATTCAAGCATCAAACGGTTTTTTCCTGTTTTTTTAGTCAACAGAAGGTGAAACTTTATTTGACTGAAAAGTAATGATTCACAGCTCCTATTATGGTAATCTTAATATTTTGAAACAAAAATCGAATACAATCATTATAAATTAGTCATTGTTGGAAAAAACCAAACGGTACTCGTATAGTTCCGCGTATACATATGCATACATTTCTGAAATGTATTTATAAAAGGCATAATCTCATTTTTTGCGTATCAAGTCACTTCCTTTTTGCATTCATCATCCACTGAAAACGATCAAATGGAATCTCGAGCACATAACTATGCAATTAAATCTTCTCCAACAGCAAACGATCATACAAGTACAAAAAGATGTACAACCGGTATGCTTATCTTTGTTGGAATTTGTTTACTGCTTATTATTCTTGGACTTGGACTTGGACTCGGCCTTCGATTAGGTCTTAGATCGTCAAGTTCTATATCAACTTGTGACACTGCTACTGCTAAGTGTGGGTGTCCATCAATTTCGCCAAATATCACCTCTCGCATTGTTAACGGAAATATCGCTACATCGAACAGTTGGCCATGGATGGTAGCGATTTATATGAGTAACGGCAGACTTTGTGGCGGTACACTCGTGACATACGAACATGTTCTTACAGCAGCACACTGTGTAAGTGATGTAACAAGTATTGATGTTGTTGTTTACGCAGGCATTCAAAAGCTGTCAGAACGGTTCAACGGACAAGTACGGAATGTTTCTGTCATAACCGTCCATTCAGAATATTCTGATACTAACAAGACGAATGATTTGGCTATACTTAAGTTATCTTCGCCAATTATTCCAAGTGCAACAACAAGTCTATGCTGTTTACCTACAATGAGTTCCAAACCTTCAATAGGAGACACGGCTATTTATATCGGTTGGGGTAGAACATCACCTTCTTCGGGCTTTTCTGATGAACTTCGACAATCAGTCACACGCGTAGTTGATTCGTCACTCTGTTATTATGCTCCGATAACAGATAACCAAATATGTACTGGAAATACTACTAGTATCGCATGTTACGGCGAAAGTGGTAGTCCATTGATGATAAATATCAACAATGCATGGGCATGTGTTGGAGTAGTAAACATGGGATTGTTAACTTGTGATTCTTATGTAGTTTTCACTCGAGTAGCTCATTATACTTCGTTTATTTCAAATGCCACATCTACATAGTACATCAATCAACGACTCTTCTCCCGTCTAAAAATAAACTAGCAAAGAGCTCAAAAGACATTTGTCTTTCTAAACTATACATATTTCTTGTGCGAATGTTGCTTTCATAAATAAAAACATAATAAAAGGTATTAGCTAATCTTGAAAATGTGAGTGACGATACTTTACACTTGACTAAAGAAAACTCTCGTCCCTATTGTCACTGAATAGAAACAAATAAGAACTTACTATATAACAAATGTTTCTTATCCATCATTTTGATTAAGTACGGAGTTATTTTAGCGCCTGTTTCCAATATTTTCAGGATTTATTCGCTCGAATATGCGTTTCATCTCGACTCTCTCTACATGGTTCCAAGTAGAACTCAATGTGCTCTATAGATTTCAATCATAAATATTCTTGACCTCACCCTCAAGATGACCGTGGTTTCGCAGAATAATTGAATATACAATGATAGAAAAATTAAACAAGGGTGTAGGTGAGAATATATCTCTTGTCTTGTCGTCAATCTCACATCGAAAATACGGTGCTAGCTTTTCTAAATTAATACAATAAGCTTTCAAAACTAGGTTGTAGTTGTGAATATTTTTTCTTTCCATACAGTCTGAAAGTTCTTTTATTATCATCATACAAATAAATAACAGTAAAAGAGGAATGTAAAATATGCTATATTTTAAAAAATTATCAATTAATCCGAGTCGGACATTACGGAGATCGTAAACGGCGAAATCACGATCGGATACGAATATCGGGTTACGCTGAAATCAGTACTAGAACACAACCGTATATTGACGCTCATCAATCTAAAATAGCCGTATATCGTGACAAATTCGACCGTTAACATCGCCGTTTATGATCTTATCACAACCTGACTAAAAGGACTTCATAGGATTGCACAAGAATATTATTAAGATTTCATAGAATTTCTCTAGGACTACATTATGATTCCACTAAAGCTAAAGAATAGACTAGGACTACATTATGATTCCACTAAAGCTAAAGAATAGACTAGGACTACATTATGATTCCACTAAAGCTAAAGAATAGACTAGGACACATACTAGGAGAAACACAAAGTAGGCATCTTTATAAAGCAAAAACGGAACTCATTTATTTATTCTTTTTTTTGTTCGCTTATGATACCAGTAGAGAATTTTTCGAATGTTCTATTCGTCGACAAACTCTATGCGTCGTCGTCTGAAAATGTCTGTAGAGTAAAGCAACAGAAGTTTGTTTTTACCAACTGGAAGAATTTTATGTACGTTAATAGAATAGAGATACTGGTCCCCATCATATTGTATGAGTAAAGAATTGATCATGTTCGTCGCAAGTGATTCACTTATTCGTCAATTGAATGATTATCATATATGGACATCTTGAGCGACGACAGCAACAAGTAGTATAAAGCAATGTTCTGAAGCCTATGTGTGCCCAGTTGTGTAATAAGTGATAGCCCCATGAGTGATCATATGAGGGTGAAGATAAACATAAATTTTGACATTATCTTCAAATACTCATGAAAAAATAGAAAACATCATGAAGGTACTTATCTTTTACATCGTTTTTAACCGTAGAAAGATTGTGATAGAAATCTTCTCCTTTATTAAAATATATTTAAGAAAAAAGCTCTTGTTAATATGATAAAATGACAATTAAAGTGAACATGGCGTGAATAAATATAACACAAATGTCATGTAAAATGTTGAATCATTTATCTAAAACCCATGCTTCTTGGTTTACCATCGACGGAAAGACATCGACCAGTGTTTCTANACCCGCTGATACGTTTCCTTTTCTAACTAGTGGTCAACAACCAAGCTTAACAGGCCCACAAATCAATCTTCTTCAAGAAATTCAGCAGAATCATCTCGATGCCATGCAACGTGCTTTTGGAGTCATCACCAAACTTGACCTTTGCCAAACAGCAGCCATTTATCAGGAACATTATGAGAAAACATTTGCCGAACTCATAGAAAAGCGCTTCAAACCAGATCGTATCTACGCAACTTGTTCGCGACTTGAAATTCCCAACGACAATACCGAAGAATTTCACGTCATTTCTCGAAAACTGCAAAGCTTCGGTGATAATTTAACTCATGGGTTCCAGCGATGTCGAGATAGTTTAAATAAATTCATCGAATGGGATCTACCGAAAACACATTTAAAGCAACTAATTGATGTGGGCAAAATAAAACTGATCCAGCTAATTCATGAGCGTATCGAAAAAATCAAAGACAAACGAATTTTGCCAGAAAATCTGACAAGCATCTCAATCGAGGAGTACATTACGCAAAAAACAATGAAAGATTGGGATAAAACTTATTACAAGGATTACTTTCAACCGATTTTCGATCACGCGAATTACTGGCATACGATGATTGTCACGAAAGAACGCGCGATATTCATTGAAGATGTCAAACAGAAGTTTCGTGAAACATTTTATGACGTGACAAAGGAATTCATGCAGCAAAAGTTTCCTATTGAACAATTAGCTTGTGAACAATACACAGCATCAAAATTGCAATTGAACATTCATCCTATTGATAATCAAATTCGTGAAAAATTAACTTTCGATTTGGAAAATCATATGGACACAACGGCGAAAATTCTCGCCGAATATTTATATTATAAATACATTTGTGAATTAGAAAATATTCTCAATAAAATATCATCACCCACACAAGATCTATATCGGACGAAATTAACATTAGAAAAATGCGTTTATCAAGTTCATGCATTGATTCTGAGAGTCTGTCGACCAGTCATTACTGCAACTTTACGATATTCATATTTAGATCTGTCTGCGAAACAAGACGCGATCAACGAATTGATTTACATTGCACCGACTGTTGCTTTTAACATAGCGAATATTCCAGATTCGGACGACAACGATGACTTGCTTGGAACACAAATACTTGCATCAGTAGAATCATTAGCTGATAGAAGTGAAATGACCACGTCGATTATCAGGACACTTTTTAAGAAGTAGCGAGATGTGTTTTCCCAGGTGACTTATACGAGCGCACTCATGTTTTTGTAGTTCAAAAGATAAATATTTCATGTAGAATTATATTTTTGTGACTAATATTCGTTGAGTAGTGTAGAAATCGTTAACTCGATTCGAGTATTAAACATCTTCTTCGAGTTTTAAACATCTTCTTCGAGTTTTAAACTTCTGAAATCTAGAACTCGAAACTTCGAGTTTGAAGTTATAAGTTCGTTAAGGTTACATTTGAAATCTCTGCAGGCAGATGGTGCTGCAGGATGGTTTGGTGGCGGATGAGCGAGAGATTTCGTGTTGTTTCTGCGTGCTGTAGACTACACTACGCTCTGTGCCATCGTCGCTTAGTTTTGTAGCTTAGAATACCCTTTCGTACGTCGCACTTTTTTGTATTTCCTGGAGCGCAATGCCGTATGCGCTCGGCTTGCTCTGTAGTCTATAGTACTTCGTCGCCCTGTCACTCGGCTGCGTCGCCGGGAATGTTCTCCGCTCACTGTTACGTGTACGCTGGAACACCCTCACATACCCTCGCACACCCACACCGTCACCCACCCTCACCCACACTTTTCGATATACTCCAGAACACCCTCCGCTACACCATCACCCACCCACACCCACCCTCACCCTCACTTTGCGATATACTCGACAACACCCTCCCCTACACCATCACCCACCGTCACCCTCACCCTATTCCACAACCCAAAAGCAATGCACGAGCATCAATCAATCAAAATTTTAAAAGTTTAAAACTCGAACAGTTGAAAACTCGAAGCTTCGAGTTCTAGATTTATAAGTTTAAAAGTTTAAAACTCGAAGTTGAAAGTTTAATACTCGAACTTTGCTTTCGAGTTATACATGTATGAAAGTTTGGTGACCGTAAACCCCTCCCCGTAATAGAAGCCCCCGGGGGCCTCTAATTTGGCTAGCGTAAAAAGTTTTTCAAGGGGGGCTTCTAATATGTCCCATGATTTTTTGAAAATTTTAGGTACCTAAGTTTTCAGGGGTTTTGACAGATTTGTATGTGATCATAAGCTTTTTGGGGGTTATTACTACTTCTTTACCTCAAAATCTACTGTTTCCTCAAATTTTACGATGATAAAGAAATGAAAATCCTGAAAAGCTTTGTAAAAAGTTTTGAAAAAAATAGGGGGGCTTCTATTAGGCAAATGCCTTGTTCAGCTCTGAGGGGGCTTCTAATATGAGGGGGTCTTTTAATAGGGGAGGGGCTTCTATTACAGGGAGGGGTTTAGCTATTATACAGACCGAATGCGCAGTGAACAGACAAGTATTCTTTTTTTTTAACGTATAGATATAGATAGATAATGTTCTTTCTAGTAGAGAAAATACAAACAAAAGTTAGAGTTTCTCTTTTACCCGTTCAATATTTCTTGTATAGTCTTCTATACTAGGGCCATTTGTAGGTAAAGACTCTTGTAGATTTTGCATGGCACATTCATAAGATGAATAAGCTTTTGAGTATTTTTCCATTTCTTCATATAAATAGCCTATGATGTGGTAATATGCAAACAAATCAGAATGGTTTAGAGGAATTGATTGTTGTCGAATTTGAAGGGCTTTTTCATAAGATGAAAGTGCGTTGACGTAGTCCTTCATACTTATATACACAGAACCAATGTTGGCGTATGTTCCAGCTATATCAGGATGCGTGGAAGGAAGTGATTTTTGTTGAATTTCAAGACTTTTTTCATGGAACAAAAGTGCATGTGGGTAGTTACCCATTTTTTATGTACGATGCCGATGTTGTTGTAAGTTGTGGCTAAGTCAGGATGATTTAGAGGAAGTGATTGTTGTCGAATTTGAAGGGCTTTTTCATAAGATGAAAATGCGTTGACGTAGTCCTTCATACTTTTATACACAGAACCAATGTTGTCGTATGTTCCAGCTATATCAGGATGCGTGGAAAGAAGTGATTTTTGTTGAATTTCAAGACTTTTTTCATAGAACAAAAGTGCATGTGGGTAGTTACCCATTTTTTATGTACGGTGCCGATGTTGCTGTAAGTTGCGGCTAAGTCAGGATGATTTAGAGGAAGTGATTTTGCTTGAATTGCAACAGCTTTTTCAAAAAATGAGAGTGCTTCTGAATATCTATCCATATGAACATACAACCAACCGATGTTATGGTATGCTGCAGCTATAGCAGGATCATTCGGGTCAAGATATAGTTTCCAGATTGCAAGGGCTTTTTCACAATAGGAAAGTGCTTTCGGATAGAGGTTCATTCGAGCATACTCACTAGAAATGTTATTATATGATGAAGCCAAATAAGGATTAAAAGGAGGAAGTGATTGCTGACTGATTGCAATAGACTTTTCATAATATTCAATTGCCCCTTCAGTTTCTCCTTGATTCTTTTTGATTGAACCAAGTATATTATAGATCAGTGCCTTTTCATCATGCGTTTTTCGTTCCCCAAGTAGCATTTTATAAATCTCTTCAGCCATCTCATTTTGATGCAATTGCATTAGTACGAAACCCAATCTGTGCCATCCATTTGTTCCTATAGGGATGTCTGCTCGAACCTGTTCAGTAAGTGCATTCAATTCTTTATCGTTGTCACCAGTCAATGTTAAGCCCACTTCGTAGAATCTGTTATTTTCATTCATTTGTTTGATATCATCGATATGAAATACACTGTGCATTGAGAACAATAGTTCATCTTCGTCCGGAATAGTACTTATACCACGAATCGAAGCAAATGGTACTGTCGATTGTTTTGAATCGATGTTTATAACAAAAAGAACCGCGATTAAATCTGGATTCTCGAGATTACTTTCGGCAAAGAACAAAGAGACATCATGTTCTCTACTTGTAGATAAAAAGCTATTAAATGACATTAATCCACCTTTCGATTTCGTCATTTCATCAAAATCTCTTTTTGATAGACCTTGACCACGATAACATGTAAATATTTCCCCATCATAATTTGTACCAAATTGTTGTTTGTGTAGTTGTTCGATGTGTTGATGTAACTCCTTAATGAAAAATCCCATTCGTACAATTATATTTCCATCCACCAATCGCAAAGCAGAATTAAGCATGGAATACAAACAAGTATTTGGATTTGTGTACCACCATATAGGTGATTCTTTATGATATTGGCGTAACAATTGTTCGACATCATATGGCTCTTTCTTATTAGTGCCGAATACATCAGGACAATAGTTAATAAACTCTTTGATATGTTTGTTTTCAAAATGAATAGTCAACATAATTTCTTTGATGATTTGTGTGTACATAAAAGATGGATCGAGTTGATCCAATCTTTTTTTTGATCCAATAAAACTCATCGATATAGCATTTTGTTGACATCGACGAGTTCTTTGTCGAAGAGCTTCACAAATTGATGTGATATCTGAGAAAACACCTTTGATCTTTGACCATTGCTTTGTCCATTGTTCATGATGTTCTTTGTTGTCGCAATAGACATAAATTGAATCGAGCTGATGGATATCATGTACGCATGGTACAAGACTTTTTCCAATTGACCCAGAAATAATCATACATACATTTGTATGATCAATATCACGAATAAATTCAAGACATTTATCATTATCTGTAAATATATTTATGTTCCTGTAGAGTTGTACAATGGAGTTTTGATAGTCTTCGTTGCTTTCGCCAAAATATTTATCCAACCAAACTACAGTGACCGTTTGCAGCGTTCGAACATCGAAATGTTGACATTCCGATGACTTTTTTGAAGTTACAGCGCTTTCTTCACTTTTTATTTCACCAACTATTTGTTTGTTGTCCATAAAGTTGTTTTATTTATTTGTATATAAGAATAATATGATTCTAATTGCTCTTTTTCAATTGTTGCATCCATGATGAAAAACAAGCTACATCATCATGCATTTTTGTCAGTAACCATGGAAAAGCCCTCAGGAAAAATTACTCTTTTAGCACTGTTTGAATAGATGAGAAAGAAAGAAAGAAAGAATGATGAGGGTTCCTCTTTCTGTGATTCTTCACCAGACGTCCTTATAAGGTTGAAAGTTAGGACAAGTATTCTTCACAATATGTATAAAGAATTTTATCTTATGAACACCTTTGACAACAAATGATCAGACAAAAATATACGCTGTTAAAATGAAATATTTGACGCATCTAAATAGATTTTTAATTAGTGAAGCATTTTCGATTGGTATGAGTACACGAGAAAACTTGTAAGAGATGGGTTCATGACCGTGGTTTCGCAGAATAATTGAATATACTATGATAGAAAAATTGAACAAGGGTGTAGGTGAGAATATATCTCTTGTCGTCAATCTCACATCGAAAATACGGTGCTAGCTTTTCTAAATTAATAGCATAAGCTTTCAAAACTAGGTTGTAGTTGTGAATATTTTTTCTTTCCATACAGTCTGAAGATTCTTTTATTATCATCATACAAATAAATAACACTAAAAGAGGAATGTAAAATATTCTATATTTTTAAAAATTATCAATTAATCCAGGTCGGACATTACGGAGATCGTAAGCAGCAAAATTACGATCGGATACGAATATCGGGTTACGCTGAAATTAGTACCAGAACACAACCGTATCTTGGCGCTCATCAACCTAAAATAGCCGTATCATGACAAATTCGACCGTTAATATCGCCGTTTATGATCTTATCACAACCTGACTAAAAGGACTACATTATGATTCCGCTAAAGCTAAATGATAGACTAGGACACATACTAGAAGAAACACAAAGTAGGTACCTTTACAAAGCAAAAACGGAACTCATTTATTTATTCTTTTTTTTGTTTGCTTACGACACCAGTAGAGAATGTTTCGAATGTTCTGTTCGTCGACAAACTCTATGCGTCATCGTGTGAAAATGCCTGAAAAGTAAAGCAACAGAAGTTTGTTTTTACCAACTGGAAGAATTTTATGTACGTTAATGGAATTGAGATACTGGTCCCCATCATATTGTATGAGTAAAGAATCGATCATGTTCGTCGCAAGTGATTCACTTATTCGTCAATTGAATGATTATCATATATGGACATCTTGAGCGACGACAGCAACAAGCAGTATAAAGTAATGCCCTGAAACCCATGTGTGCCCCAGTTGCGTAATAAGTGATAGCCCCATGAGTGATCATATGAGGGCGAAGATAAACATGAATTTTGACATTATCATCAAATACTCATGCAAAAATAGAAAACATCATAAAGGTACTTATTTTTTTACATCGTTTTTAACCGTAGAAAGATTGTGATAGAAATCTTCTCCTTTATTAAAATATATTTAAGAAAAAAGCTCTTGTTAATATGATAAAATGACAATTAAAGTGAACATGGCGTGAATAAATATAACACAAATGTCAAATAGGATGTTGAATCATTTATCTAAAACCCATACTTCTTGGTTTACCATCGACGGAAAGACATCGACCAGTGTTTCTACCTATATAAACTTCGTATAAAAATGTACCATCACAAGATGGTCCACTCCAGAATTGAACATAGCTAGATCCAGATGGATTAACATATACCGAACCTGTTGTGCCATCGATTTGACCACAGAAAATACTGGCACGAGAATGTCCATAAGACATACTGCCAGAACAATCAGAAGTTCTATATTCATTCATCTTGTAGTTGTCAGCATGTACCATGATGAGTAAAACAGCACATAATACAATACGGAGAAACATGATGATTATTATTTTATACGTAAATCAAAATTATATTTGTAGAACAAAATCTATAAAAGAAAAATATTCAACTTTTCACGGGACAAACGAAATCATGTAAATGCAAATAAAGAGGTAACTTCCAATCAATCTACTTAAAAATTCTTTAATAAGAGTTTTATAATCAGTTCGTACGAATACTTTAGACGAACTATCTATTCAATTCATATAGGTCTGTTGATCTTCATCAATTGAATAAATATTTCTACTTCATGATTAAAATACAATCTATACTTCACTTTTACATTGAGACAAATCTCCTTGATAATTATCAGAGAGAAAGTGATCGACCAGTTCGATCACTTGAATGATTTGAATTCACCCTAAATTTATGCGCATATATATACTTCAACAAAATCTATTATGAGAATAAGAATTACGAAGTATATTTGCGTATATTGTACAGAGATAAATGCGGGTATTCTAAAAATATGATAGTTAATCAACAAAAACAATGCAAATCGGCTTCGAGGTGTTGAATCAATAGATCGATTATTACAATACTTTATTCTTTCCCCAGTAGATATGTGATTTTTGAGTAGAAATACTGTGTGGGGTCGTCGATTGCACTCTTTAGCGTCCTAAACACCTCGAACGAACGCGAAGTTTTGCGTTCTGGTCACGCACTCTTTCTACTTTCCCCACTGTGATGATCATCAAGAGGTAGATATTCTTGATTAAAGAGAAGTAAACAATGACACTTGTCTTTTTATATGAATGACGTACAAAAAGAAAAAAATATCTCGTGTGTTTATATTCATTTTCAACAGTTTTTATTGTTGTAAGTATTTGACAATTATGATGATGACGTGCAATTAATGTTCCCTTTTCTGAAAGAAAGGGTTATACAGCGTTTAAATGCTGTGTTAAAAAGCTTAAAGTTTGTCTGTCTGTCTCTCCTATCCAATCAGAAATCAGCATTTCTAAAATCAATGAAATTGATCGATAGTTGTTGAAAAAATGATTACCCATAGGGTAATCGAGGTCGCGGAACTTGAATCTGAGGTTAGGTTTAACTAATTATTAATTAACTATCTGTCAACTAGACATAGATTATTAATATAGAGGGTAAGGGTTGGCCGAAGGGTAATCGGGGTCGAGGATCTCGAATCCGACGTTAGTGTTGCTTAATTAATTATTAGTTTTTCATTAACTAGCCACGACTTATTAACACCCATTGTGAGAGCAGAGCGAAGGGTTTCTGACGTCGGGAAATTCGAAGTTGAGGGTGAATTTCGTCTTATCCGCTGAGCCTGGGCTTGATCCTTTCTGTTTACAGAGGAGACATTTTTTTTCCTTATCTGTTCTGAAATCCTCTGTAGCAGATGGTGAGCTGAACGCTATTCACGGACGTCATGCGTACCAAGATAGTAGCTCAAGAACTTACGCGAAAAGATCTAATGCATTGTACATGATGATGTTTCTAATTGAAAAATCCGAAAAAGTGATATGAGCTTACGTTAGTATCATCTTTGCTTTTTAGGCTACATACATCATGTCTCTTTATGGGAATTTAGTAGAAGCAGTTCGCAAAGTGATATACCCATCGGTGAAATTCCATCTTAGTGACTACAGACGCGTGGACTATACAAACAGTATTCTGAACACATACAGCACTATGAAAGATGTTCGTTTCGAAGCAAATTATAGAATAGGACTTTCTTATCTAGTTTCTTTTGGTAGTCGAATGAATGGAAGATCATGACTGTCGAAGCGACAATAAAAGAAAATCCAATCGTTCAGTTTGAAAGTTGATTAAAGGAGATAGGAATAAAAGAGATAGCATGGCAACGGCAAGCCGTGAGTGACCGACCGAAGGGAGGTCGACGAACGACTAGACGTTTATTTTGAAAATTACTTGAAAGANTCCATAAGACATACTGCCAGAACAATCAGAAGTTCTATATTCATTCATCTTGTAGTTGTCAGCATGTACCATGATGAGTAAAACAGCACATAATACAATACGGAGAAACATGATGATTATTGTTTTATACGTAAATCAAAATTATATTTGTAGAACAAAATCTGTAAAAGAAAAATAGACAATTTTTCACGAGGCAAACGAAATCATGTAAACGCAAATAAAGAGGTAACTTCCAATCAATCTACTTACAAATTCTTTAATAAGAGTTTTATAATCAGTTAGTACGAATACTTTAGACAAACTATGTATTCAATTCATATAGGTCTGTTGATCTTCAGCAACTGAATAAATATTTCTACTTCATGATTAAAATGCAATCTATACTTCACTTTTACATTGAGACAAATCTCCTTGATAATTATCAGAGAGAAAGTGATCGACCAGTTCAATCACTTGAATGATTTGAATTCACCCTAGGGATGTAAAAACAATATCAATACCACCAATACCGTATTGGTATTGTGACATCCCTAATTCACCCGAAATTTATGCACATATATATACTTCAACAAAATCTATTATGAGAATAAGAATTACGAAATATATTTGCGTATATTGTACAGAGATAAGTGCGGGCATTCTAAAAATATGATATTTAATCAACAAAAACAATGTAAATCGGCTTCGAGGAGTTGAATCAATAGATCGATTATTACAATACTTTATTCTTTCCTCAATAGATATGTGATTTTTGAGTAGAAATACTGTGTTGGGTCGTCGATTGCACTCTTTAGCGTCCTACACACCTCGAACGAACGCCAAGTTTCGCGTTCTGGTCACGCACTCTTTTTTATATGAATGACGTACAAAAAGAAAAGGATGTCTCGTGTGTTTATATTCGTTTTCAACAGGTTTTATTGTCGTCTGTATTTGACAATTATGATGATGACGTGCAATTAATGTAGATGTCTGTTTTATTAATACAACACTATTTATTTCAGATTAGATCTTTAGAAAAAAAACTTTTCTATTGTAACTTGCACTATTGCAAAATTTTTGAATTCTGTAGTGAGAATTTTGACATCCCTCGATCATAGCGGGGAGTAGTATTAGGTTGTTAACAAAGTTTTTGCGCTTTTTTTCAAAATTTTACTCTTCTTTTTTAACTTCAACGATACAACTAGCTTTCAGTTATATATGTACCACTATACTATCTATGACTTGTCGCCAACGCTCTGGCAAAGACATGATCCCGCGTTCGTAGAAATCCTTGGACTTTGGGTCAAAGAAATTGTTAATATCTGTTTTCAGATTGTTGTCATCGTCGAACTTTTTCTCACGTAAATGACGAGAAAGAGAAAGAAACAAATGATAGTCCGTTTATGCTAATTCAGGAGAACAAGGTAGATGAGGAACAGTAATCCAACCGAGCTTCAATGATTTTTCGCAGGTCAGCTTTGCAAAATTTGGTCGGGCGTTGTCAAGGTATAACCAGTTGGAAAAATTTTCCAATGAATAATACCACTGAGGCCCCGCCAAACGCTCAAAATCATCTTTTTGCGAGGGAAATCAGGCTTAGGTGTTGCTACGCCTGTCTGGCCAGGGCTAAGCCATTGGTAATTGCGATGAGACGTCATTAAATCCATACAAGCATCAACCCGATGTTGTAGCTGATGTAATGATAACTCTTGTGGTATCCAAACTCCATATTTCCATGTCTTGTCTAATTGGATCAGATGTTTTTCCACTGCAAAATGGGAGCACCCAAAGTGCTCTGCTAAGCACCGTAGAGTCAATCGAAGATCTTGTTCGATAAGCTGTTTTAAGAGATTTACATCCTCCCCCATCGTGCTACATATGTTGCTGGTTGCTTCCGTTGCTTTGTGACCGAGACGGAGTTCATGAAGCAAAACCACTCGAATCTCTACGAGAAAGGCCCATTTTCAGCTCATGATCAGTGTCTGTATCGATGAATTTATTAGCATTCGAAAGATATTCACACTCGCTTTCTATACTCTTAGTATGAAGACTTCCAGAACTTTCTCGAATATTTTAGAAGATTTTCAAAAACAAACGTAAGCACTTTGTTAACAATCTAATACATGTAGAATCAAGGTTGCCAGATCTTCCGAATTCCTCCGAATTGTCATATTTTTTGAGATTGTTATTTCATTGTTATGTTATCGTGACTGTGAATGTCTGTTGTTGCGCCATCTGAGTTTGATCACTGCCACTAGAGACTTTATCTGACGTATACCTGGTTTATTCAAATATCTGTACCTGTTCAAACTGGTTTGAATCTTCTATTTTCATGAGATAGTTATTTAGTGGCGGCGCCACGTGTGGGTTAGGATTGGCTCAGCCCACCCTAGTGGGAGCTCCTGGCGCTGCCGCTAGTGTTATTCTATCTAATGATTCTCTCATAGTAGATTGAATTGCTGCAACTATGGAAGACAAATCGGTAGGTTCGAATATGACCATCAGTGTGATCGAGGAAGCAGACGAAATTATTTCACTGACAAAATCCACGTGCACATCGGCATTATCAGCAACTAGTCCGAGAACGAAGAAGAAGAAAGGTGTTTTTAGAAGACTGGTTGTATGCGAAGAATTATTCTCTCTGGTTACAAGAAGTAAAAACTGATCCGACACAAGCTCGATGTAAAGTTTATTTAAAAACGTTAAGTGCTCAACGTGATGGAAAGACAGCTTTGAAGAAGCATGTGCACTGAAAAAAAGATCCGGATAATGATCTACCCTTGCCCTATTAAAAATTGTCAATAAACCCTTAAAGGGTTTATTTCGATGTGATAAACCATTTGAGGATTGATCAGTCAAAGGATTTATAAGCGTAAGCGTTTATAAAAAATCCAAGGGGTTTATAACGCTATAGAAAGGTTTTCATTCTTTAATTTCAAGATGCAAGTATGTTCTCCAACGGATGACAGTAGAGCAAGATTCGCTTTCATGATGAGGGTATTGCATTATTCGTTTTTAGGTTTATTATCCTACTTTTTCCTGAAAATGGTATATCAGCATGTTTTTTCTGAGGGAGATTTTATTTCCTCTCTGAAAAAAGCTCATTACTCTACGCCTGAGGGTAGATTCTTTTATCTGATTTTCCAGAGGATTTCTTATTCTATGGTTCGCTATTGATTCATCCGCTTCTTAATCTAAAAGTTTAGCACTGCCCTTGATAAATTATGTTCGATACCTTTCCGTTAGCAAGGGTATTTCGCTCATCGCCTAAGAGTTGATTCAACTACTTTCTTCGCATAGGAAGGTTTATTCTTACACTCTTTCGTTCAAGAGGCTTATTATTATGTGTGAAAGGGTTCATCCTTCTACTGGGGTGTTGGAAGGGTTTTGCATTCTACGGATAAGAGTTGATCCTTCTACCCTTGCGTTAAAAATGTTTATTATTGTACGCACCAAGACAGATTCTTGTATAGCTTTATAGACAAGGTTTATCATTCTACAGACGAGGATTGATATTTCCATCTTCGACTGAAAAGGTTTATCATATTGTGTGTAAGGGTTTATTCTTCTACACTTCTATTAGAAAGCTTTATTCATGTACACACAACATTCGGCTCTTTTATCTCTCGATTTCCGGAAATTTATTGTTTTACGCATATGTACTAATTCTTCTACAGTTTTGTAAGAAGGGTTTTTCATAAGATAATAGAGTTGATGAAGTGTGAACAGATCCTGGGAACAAGTCGTTTAGTGGCGTACATTATTTTTAATAATGATTCCATTATATCTCAGTCTGAGGATCACTCTGTTTATGGATCATTAGGGATGCATGATTTTTTTCAATATTTTATTCCAGACCGATGTATTTACTTTTATAAAGTATCTTGTTGTGCGTGTTAGATATTCATACATGAGATACAATAGCTAGAGATGATGATGGACTTTCTACCAGATGAATATTTTTCTAATGTTTTTCTACAAATGAAGTAAAGAATTGCATAGTCTACGGAATGCGCAATATATTCTTTCATGATCGTTATTCTTTCTTATTTATCTCTCGGTCAATAAATGCTGATGATATGAAAAAATAAAGGCGAATCTATATTAATTCAGTTAGTCAATAAAATCTAATGGCTATACTCATATCAATATGTTGCATTGAACACGAAAACTTAATGTCATTATTTATTTCTCTGCTTTTCAACAGATCGAAATGTCTTTAGCCTTGCTAAAGTGGCTATACACATAACAGTTCATCATAAAATGATACCAGTTTTTTAATTACTTGTGATTTACATAACGTATGTAGTGTTCTATAACGAATACAATCTGCATATAAATCTCTTATTTCTCGGCAACATCCGAATAAATTTCATGAGATAGAAATACTTAAATCATTTAAATACAATTCATATTGGTACTCAACAGTAAAAGAAAATAGATTTGAATGTTGGGAACGCTTTACAAATAATGGTGATATAATGCATCGAATTCTGCTGACAATTACCTCGAATTAACATTATCAGATGATGATCAGGAAGCGGCGCTTTAAAAATTTTCGTTATCATTCAGTTTAATAGATGGTGCAGAAACCTTGGAATCGATGGCCCAATTCTTCAGACGATATACTGTGTTGAGCGAACACTCGCCAATGTGATAGCCTATGATCGATCCGATTGAGAAGTACAATATCGGATAAGTCATGCTGCGAAACCATTCATATAAGAGCATATTGAAAAAATAGATGTTCATGATACCTCTAATTTTTTTTTCAATTTTTCAGGAATCAATTGTTTTCATCGCAATTGGACAGTTTCGAATCAAGAGTGTACAACAGTTCTGTCTATCGATGATGATGATAGTTTCCCACTAGCAATCTAGGCAATTATGTTTCTTATTTCATTCAATGTGTATTAAAAAACACATTATTTTATTGACAATTCAAGTTGGTCTAATAAGCAAGAGACACGCTTTCCTTAAAGAAAATGTTATTTCTTTCACAAAGCATATTTAACTTGCAATTTCTACATTCATTTTTACGCCGAATTCAAGTTTTTAATAGAATAAACCATATATCACTAAGAATTTTTGAACTGGAGAACATTTTTCAGATTATGATCAAGTTCCTTTCTCGATCTAACCATTGAATCTTTTCTTTAGAATTAGCTATGCAACACAAGCAATTCGATTTCATTAGCAGTGTGATTGTCACGTTTTTAGAAGTACTTTTGACGATTGACAATATCATAAGTACACTCAACATCTATAGATGATATCACATTTGTTTACTGTAGAATGTAACCGAAATGTAAAATAACCACTTTTTATTTCAAGTGAGAATGTTCATCACGTTTTTTGTCTATCCTTTTTTATTTTTTTCTTTCTTATTCCCATCATTTTATGCAATTCAGGGGATATCGACCACGCACTAGTATAATAAGTAAATATTTTTTTGTCTTTCTTTTCTCAACCAATAGTTCAATTCGAAAAGCATGGATGTACAAGAGCATGATAAATGTTATATTACTATTTGCATTATCTTCTTGTTCTTTTATAGTTGATTTTCCAATTCGAACAATATCGTGCATCAAACTGCCTTGTGCGTGATGTATATTATCTCAACTTGATCAGTTTTGTTATTAGTTACCCTATACAATGACATGAACTGTCGAGTAACATGATAAGTGACTTGTCATTTTTACCTGTCACTTTTTTATTTAGAAGCAATCATTCAATTTAAGCTTTATCATTGATCCAGTCATTTACTCTTCAGTCATCTGATCTTATTACTTACTCAGATTTAACAGGAACAAATATCGAGCAATATGATGAGAAATCATTTGTATTTGATTTTGCTTATTTTTATTCAATTACTTATTCTATTCAAGCAATATCATCCATCGATTTACGTTGTGCGACATTCATCTCTCAAGACGTCTCGTCGTTCCATCAATCGCCCAAGTAAAAAAACATGAAGTATTGGGTGATATGGTGAGTAATGTATAACATTTCACATTTTCTGTTGCTTTCTCTGTTGTACTTAGCAAGTCAATTTATCTAATGTGAAACGTATTTATTTTGGAATTATTTCGATTCCTCAGTTATTATTCAATTGAAATAACATCAAGGATTGAGCAACATAGTGAGTGTTACATTACTCCTTGTTTCTTTTCTTCTTTTTGTTTTATTTACGATCAGTTATTTAAATTAAACAATATCCTGCATCAAACGGTCTGCTGTATGGTTATATAACTTGTCAAGTGATTTGTGTTAATTTGCTCATCATTCAATTCTAATATTAAGCATCGATGAACAACAAAGCAAGTCATGTACTATTTTCCACTTTTTCATTCCTTTTTCATTTAGAATTCCTTATTTAACTTGAACAAAATTATTCGCCGAATCATTTTAAGCAATTTATTTCTTGTTTTCTTCTTCCATTTCGGTTTTAGTTTTCCAATTCCAGTATCATCAAGCATTCGACGACACGGTGAGCGATATGTTTCTTTTCCTCTTTATTTCCTTCGATCAAGCATGCAATTGTCCGCACCATATGGTGCATAATATTGAGAATGAGATATCTTTTCGAGCTTTTCCTTCTTCTGTTAGCTGTCTGATTTCATTAACGTTATCTGTTGATCTTCAAACTATGCAATAAATGCCTTTTCACTGTTCTTTTTCTGATAGATTGCTCAAATTCACCGTTGTTATCTTTTGAGTAACGCACAACATGATACTTCTTTTACTCCTTTCCTCGGTCGCTTATATTATTCGATTTCCATCATACTGTCATCCACATATTGCACATCTTTTCCACTCCAATATTTTTTGCACTGTTAACACACTGCTTACGTGAGGTTTCTACGTCGTACATGCTATAGTATCCATGTGTGCGCTCAATATCATTACTTCTAGTGACACTGTTAAATAGGTATACTGTTATTCTCTCATGTACTTCTGACCTCTTCTTGGCCTCTCTTATTGTCGCTCATGAGATTCCTTTCATTTTCTTACTATTTGTACTTTTTCTTGTGCGATCAATAGCTTAACTCTTTAGTCCGCGAATACATCCTCTACATACTAATTAGTAGTCAGATCCATCTAAAGATTGTCAAACAACATTCTTCTTCGTATTTTATGTAAGAGTTTCCATTAAGTCTATAGCTGGGTATTTCGAGCTATTGCGTTGATTGCGATTCCTAGGTTCGGCTTTGACGTTCTCTCTTTTCTACCTTTTTGCCCCCTGTGTTTATAGAGGAGCAGATGCGCCAGTGCAATTCTGATATAATGCATTCATCGTGTTGAATGCTCGAAACAACTCTTCGATCTACCTTTTTCCAGTACATGGAAGTGACCAACCGTCTGATATACCCTTCGGTCTGCCCTTTTTGGAGTTGATCAGTTACACCGACGGTAAAATAACAGCATTTGATTTTCGTATACCCCTTGATAAACGAATATGTGTTCCAAAATAAAATAGTTTTGGAATATGAAAAACCCTTCGTAAGAGTTTAGGAAAATGGAACGATAGAAATACCCTTTTATAGTTTTTGAAACGTATAAACGTCTCGATAAATTCTTCTATAACGGGTATTTGATTTTGATAAACCGTTGTATTCACTGTTTTAATTAGTAGATCAAAGAGTTTAACATAGTGTGATATACGGTGCCGAAGGGTATCTCTATCGTTGCATTTTGATAAATGGTAAAAAAGTTTATCATTCTACGCTTTTTTTTTATCAGTGTGGATAGTGATATTCATAAGACATGCATGAAATCGTTCAGAATCAGTTCATCTCTCACATCCGTCACACCTTTTTCAACTCAAGCACCAAAGACGGCAGCTGTAGAAAGTACTTTTTGTTTATCACGGAGTCAAACATGGCCATAGCTACAATTCTCAGCAATGTACAATTAATTAGTCAAAGAGTTTATTTGAGTCGTCTTCCATAGGTACTAAATCCCTTTCATGTGGTGGAAGAAAATCGAGAGCTATCGCTTGCAATGTTGTTGCGCCATATTTTACATTGAAAATAGTTGATGAAGTATCACAAGCACGTTTCTATCAATGTCATTTGATGCCTCTAATAAAGGAAATATATATCTTTTGATAAGAAATCAACTACCTATGAGAAGAAGATACTCTTTTACGCGAAACAAACGTTTCAATTCGATAACGGACTTTATTACAAGCACGTATAAAAACATGCCTTCGCGTACACATCATTCTCTTATCATTTATAAAACACTCTTTTTCTCGACTGTTTACGCCGTTAATAGAGATCAGTACAAATGGATAATACTCGTTTACGTTCGACTATTCTGAGCGCCATAGATCGTCTAAATGATAACGATCTAGTCTGTCTTCACTCCTGCCTCGGCGATGACGTACCACGAAGACTTCGAGATGATCGAACACGTAGTGGAACTCTCAAGCTAATAGATTCACTTTTTGATCGAAATAAAATTAACAACGAATATTTGACTTATCTAATTCAAGTATTTGACCAAATTCAATGTTATGACGCTGCGAAGCCGTTAAAGGGTTAACTAATTTGTGTTTATTCAATATATTTATTAATTTTTGATACGTTTAGAATATATGAAGCAAAATCGAGCAATGGTAACAAGTCAACTTGTACGAAGTCCACCATTAGGAGCGGCCGTTTTTGCTGATGCATTCGAAGACGAGGATAGAATCTCAGTGAGTACAACCAGATATACAATAAAATTAAAATATTTCTTATAGGAAGATTTAATTTTGCATTCCTCAAATGAACTGTACAAATCCGACTGGAAGAAGCCGTTATATACTTCTTTTCATTCTGGTGCGTTTGAACCCGTATGAAATCAGTGACGACTCAATAAAGTATCAGTCGACGAGGGAATAAGGCTTCTGTTTTCACTGTATTCTTTCGACAAAAGGCTCTGAAGGACCGTTCCATTTCTATCAAAGCATTTTTTGTTAGTTGTTGATCAGAATAAGGGATGAATGAAGCCGAACAAAAGGTCTAATTTGACTTTATATGGACAAAAATACGGGATTTTCTTTACAAAAGAAATGTATTATCATTTTTGTTTCTCGACAACCGGAATACGTTCACTTCATCTTATTAATTGACTAATTTTAGAGGCAACAACGTCGGCATCTATAGTAATGGGTGCATCAATGAAGACCATGGAAAAGGAAAAAGGTATGCGAACAGCTTCAAGAGCGAATCATTTTTTACCTTTCGTTTTTGAAGTGAAAGCCAGTGAATGGAAAGCAGATGTAAAAAGCGTAGCCGGAGGCAATAGATGTGGCGAGAAATTGAACCAACTTCACCGACCCAACGGACTTTTTATCGATAAAAGTCAAAATATTTTCATTGCGGATCGTTTAAATCATCGAATAATGAAATGGGAACCGAGTGCTAATGAAGGAGAAATTGTTGCAGGCCGAACTGGAAAAGCAAACAGAATGAATCAGTTGAATGAACCAACAGACGTGCTTGTTGATGAACAAGACAATTCGTTGATCATCGCTGATCGAGGGAACAGAAGAGTGATTCGATGGTGGAGTCAAAACCACCAAGAAATTCTCATCAACGATATCCAATGTTCGAGCTTAACAAGAGATAAAGATAACTTTCTTTATGTTTGTGATGATGAGAGACATGAAGTAAAAAGATGGACAATCGGAGATACACAAGGGAAAGTGGTTGGTGGTGGAAATGGACGTGGAAATCAACTTAATCAATTCGATCATCCTCATTTTATCTTCGTTGATGATGAACAATCGATTTATATTTCAGATCTTTGGAATCATCGTGTAATGAAATGGAGAAAAGATGCACACGAAGGAGTTATTGTTGCTGGTGGAAATGGAAGTGGAGATAGTCTAAGTCAATTAAATTGTCCTACAGGAGTCATTGTTGATGATTTCGGCCAAGTTTACGTTGCAGATTATGCAAATCAACGGATAATGCGTTGGAGAGAACGAGACCAACAAGGCGAAATAATTATTGGTGGAGATGCTTGGGGAGAGAAATTCATTCAACTGTCTGGTCCTTCTGGTATATCATTCGATATTGAAGGAAATCTTTATGTTGTCGATAGTGAAAATCACCAAGTCCAACGGTTCGATTCAGTTTGTGAGTACAAAGCTTCTTTTCCAAATGCAAAACTATCTCGAAAAGTTTGATCATAAGTTTTGAAATCAAACTTTTTTCTTCTCCACGGATAAATCATATATGACTATAGTTGTATTTTAGTACCAAAACGCAGCATTACTCGTCGTTTGTTGAAAGATTTAGTCAAATCAAAACTAACAATTATTTGTCTCAATATCCCACTCAGTTCTACGTATTTCACAGATATGGAATATTATGAGAATGATTACAGATTTCTCTGCGATCTTTCAAACATCAAACAGAAACAAATACGTCTTATTTTACCAATATCCACAGCCAAAGATCTTGTACCACTGATTCATAACTATCATTTTGTTGAATTCTTCTACATTTTAAGTTCTTCAACGGTAAATAACGATGAACAAAGTTGGATTGGTCAGTATCCAAAAATCTTCGGTATATTCGATTCAAAAAATGAAATAGTGAAAGCTATCCACGAAAGTGATAGTACTTATTTCTCTGCAAGTTTGTTTAGTGAAGGAGATCTCGTCTATTCATTATATACACAAACTATATCTGCGAAGCACAATGATTGTTTCGCTACGATTAAGAACACTCTGAATGATGTTTACATGAAATTTATCTTATGCTCTGATTATACCACAGATCAATTACCATTGATTACACAATTTAACAACAGTCAATATGATTTTCTTAGTTTTCAACTGATGCTCGAAATCCTATACGATTTACCATCTCTTTCGAATCCTGCTGATAAAGACATGATATCTTGCAGTCAATCATGCACAGAATATCATAAACTATTTGATACAATTGCAAGAAATATTCAAGATCATACGTTGACAGATTTGATAGACGATTCAAGAGACATTTCCGCTTCTTTCTTTACTTTCATTGAGCATTTATACAAACACGGATTATCTATGGAAAGAATTTTACCATCGCATCAATTACTCGCCAATATTCGAGATGCTATTAATCATTTAGAACCGTGTACTTCTCCATCTACAGTTTATTGTGTACAAATTATCAAAAGCGATCAAACCAATTTATTTGAAAATCAAAACCATTCAACGCTTATCACTTTCCATTCTCATCTTCTTGCATCGAAAAACGTTCTAACCACTCGTACAATTGCTCGTGAAATGAAGAAAAAAGAATATCAAAGTATAATTTTGGAAATTTACGTTCCAAAAAAATACGCCCATGCAGTACATTATATCGATACTGATCGTGTCGTATTCCATTTAGGATCGATGTTCCAAATACATTCGACTGAATTGTCATTCGATGGGATTTTACATATAAAATTAAACTATATTTTATATCGAAATGATTTCCTCAAAGAACAGATTTATTTTCAAACGCAACAAAACTTCACATGGTTCACTTTTGGAATTTATCTTTCGATTTTAAAGAAATACGACGATGCTCTTGTTTATTATCAATATGTATTAGATCATGTTAATTTAGATAGCTCAAATCAAGCATCAATCTATAATAATATGACAATTATCAGTACTTTTGGACGATCGAAAGCGGAGTCTCTTTCTTTCTCTCATCAAGCACTTGATTTAATACGATCATCGGAAAATAAGGACGTGGAATCAATAAATCATAACGTACCGGTTTCTGATCTAGAGAAAGTATTGCAGAATTACAAAAATGTACTTTTTTCTTCATCTGACTCACATTTGTGTCATGTTTACAAAGAAATAGTTCTATCGATTTTAGGCAAAATAAAATCAGATTGTCATTAAAGTTCTTTTTTTATCTTTTGTTTTAGATTGTGTTAAACGACGACCGAACTAGTATATATCTCCATTGATCATGTAAAAGATCGTTTGTTACATTCATGTTATTTTGATCTAGACCTCTTTTCTTTTCTTTTCATAGGAATATCGAAACCTACGACGAACCAACACTCTTTGATTCCAAGAGAGCTCTCAGCGAATATTTTACCGGAGTTTGGTTTTGTGATCATCAAACAGAAATACCCGAAGACACGAACACTGAGCTGAACAGACAATTACGAGAGTTATTTACAAGTTTTTACATTATTGATAATATCTTTGAATTATTCGATTATGTCCAAAACGAAGATCGAGCAACATTATTATGTTTAATTGTTAGTAGCAAATGTGGAGAATATCTTATCGATCAAATTAGAAGATATAATAAAAAATGTCAATTCATTTACCGGTTCGAGTATGAACTCAATGATTTGCATTATCAAACTCCAATATTCACAAATATAAGTACACTTTTTGAGAAAATATCTACAAATATTCAGCAATTTAATAGAAATCATTCGATCTCAACTAGAGATGAACTTCGTCCAAATGATACTCTTGGTAACCAAAGGCTCAGAGATCCATTTCCTGGATTGTCTATTTACAATTTCTCAATAAAACAAAATCCAATTAAATTTTTTAGCGAAGATTCATTGAAATTTCTCCTTTTCCAAACTCTTACCGATATTATTTGTGAAATGAACCAGGATCAAGCATCTTTCAATGATTTGATATGCGAATGTCGAAGTTTTTATCATAACAATCCTTCCATGTGGTCTCACATCGAAGATTTCAAAGTTAACTATAAGTCTTCCAGCCAAGCAATTTTCTATTACACACAAAGTCAGTTCTTGTATCGTACTTTAAGTCGAGCATATCGCAGTGAAAATATTGAAAATGTTTATCAATGTAGAAAATTCATTGCAGATTTACATCGTAATTTAGAAGAATATCAGAGAACTAAGAAAAAATCTGTACAATTCAAGACTCTATATCGTGGATCCAGATTGCCTCGTTCTATTATTCAGCAGCTGATTGACCATCGAGATCATCTTATTTCTATCAATGGATTCGTTTCAACAACAACTGGCCGTGAAGTAGCACAGTTCTTTTCAGGTGACGATGAAACAGAAAATAGTAGAGTTAGTGTTGTTTATGAGATGAGTATTGATCAAAATTTCAATCGAATATTCGCAAATATCAGAGAGAAAAGTCATTTTGGAGATGAAGATGAGGTTCTTATGGCAACTGGTACGGTTTGGAAAACCAAGTCAGTCGTAAGGCAAAATAATAGTTGGATTATTACATTACAATCTTGTGACAAAATGGATTCAAAGTTACGAGAAATCAAACGTTCCCTTATTCATGGATCCAGTCTTCTTTCACTTGCTGATATTCTAAGAAGGCAAGGTGATTTGGTCGAAGCTGAACGATTTTATAAACGAACGCTTAACGACGATTCCGTTGAAGAAAAGAAGAAAGGTTTTGTCTATAGTGGACTAGGAATGATTTATCTTCAACGTGAACAAATTGATGATGCTGTCAAATATCTTCAAATGGCGCTTCCGTTGCTTGAGCAACAATCAGATCAAATTTTTAATGCCTCGTCATCAGTGTACTTGTTCTCGTCAGACGAACCAACAACACGAATTCAAGTCCTTCATAGTATCGGATTGGCTTATCAAAAGAAGCGAGAATATGATCAAGCTTTTGAGTGGTATAAGAAAGCGCTCAAAGAAACAAAAGGAACTTCCAATACTTACGAAAAAGCAGTAGTTTGCTACAACATAGGTCTTTTATTCATTACTCAAGGTCGATATTATGATGCGTATCAGTATTACAAACAGGCAGTAGAACTAACTCCGGGTCACCCAAAGAGGAGAACATTTCAAAATGCGTTAGACAATGTCGAAAAGTATCTCATCGAACAGAAGTCAAAAATTTCTAACGTAGGAACACAACAAAGAAGGTTAAACGGTTGTTTACATAGCTGGAACAGATGTATAGTGTTTTAGAATCTAGATTTCAATAAATTATGCGCAAGTTTGATAAATCCTGAGGACGAGAGTGTAATGAAAGATGTTGGCTGAATAAATTGATTTAAACGATTTCTTATTCTCTTTATGTACTATTGAACAACTCATCGAGTAGTGTAGAAATCGTTAACTCGATTCGAGCATTAAAACTTTCATTCGATTTCTAAATCTCTTAGTTCATAATTCGAGTAATCGAGTTTTAAACTAATCAACTTGCTCTCGACACTTAGCCAACGCGTGTGTGTCTGCGTTCAACATGCCAACGTTCACTTGCTTCTCAAAGCCCTGCTGACACACGTCGATGCATGAGATGCCTAATTCGACTTATATTATAAGTCGACCCCCGACAGGCTAGTATCAATTCGAATATAAATAGATATCTATATAACCCTTATAACAAATGACTACATAGGAATAGAAATAGATTTAGTTTTAGTTATGCATACATACACCTATACCCCTGTGAGTTTAGGAATAGAAATAGATTTAGTTTTACTTATGCATACATAAACCCATACCCTCACTTACATCTATCTCGCTTGAGGGTGCTGCGGTGGGTGTTGGCGATGGTATATATGTATAAGTAAAACTAAATCTATTTCTATTCGTAAACTCACAGGGGTATGGGTGCATATATGTATAACTAAAACTAAATCTATTTCTATTCCTGAGGGTGCTAGGAATTGGTCACTTATATTGTAAGTCGAATTAGGCAGCTACTCGGCAACAATGGATCAACAACGGACATCGCTCTACAAAATCCGATGTTACTGGTACAGTCCGGCAATACGTTACTGTTTTGGGATCAAAAGTGTCATCTTTCTTATCACACACCTGGATCAAGCGTGGACAAGCAAAACATTTCCAATTTCTCAGAGCCAATGTTTCGACCAAGACGATTCTTGCTCAAGTCGACTACAGTGAGAATTTCGCAATCGGATTTCAAGATGAAATTCAAAGCGCTCATTNAATTCTAGTATCATCAAGCATTCGACGACACGGTGAGCGATATGTTTCTTTTCCTCTTTATTTCCTTCGAGCGGGCATGCAATTGTCCGCACCATATGGTGCATAATATTGAGGGTGAGATATCTTTTCGAGCTTTTTGTTCTTCTGTTAGCTGTCTGATTTCATTAACCTTATCTGTTGATCTTTAGAGTGCGCAATAAATGCCTTTCCGCTCTGTTCTTTTTCTGAGAGATTGCTCAAAGCCACCGTCGCAATCTTTTGAGTAACGTGCGATATGGTACTTCTTTTACTCCTTTCCTCGGTCGCTTATACTATTCTATTTCCATCATACTGTCACCCATATATTGCACATTTTTTCCACTCCAATATTTTTTGCACTGTTAACACACTGTGCTCACGTGAGGTTTCTACGTCTTACATGCTGTAGTATCCATGTGTGCGCTCAATATCACTACTTCTAGCGATACTGCTAAATAGGTATATTATTATTCTCTCATGTACTTCTGATCTCTTCTTGGTCTCTCTTATCATCGCTCACGAGATCCTTTTCATTTTCCTACTATTTGTACTTTTCCTTATGCGATCAATAGCTGAACTCTCTAGTCTCTAGTCCGCGAATGTATCCTCTACATACTAATTAGTAGTCATATCCATCTAAAAGATTGTCAAACAACATTCTTCTTCGTATTTTATGTAGGAGTTTTCATTAAGTCTATAGCTGGGTATTTCGAGCTATTGCGTTGATTGCAATTTCTAGCTTCGGCTTTGCCGTTCTTTCCTTTCTACCTTTTCGCCCCAGATGTTTATAGAGGAGCAGATGCGCCAGTGCAATTCCGATATAATGCATTCATCGTGTTGAATGCTCGAAACAACTCTTCGATCTACCTCTGTCCAGTACATGGAAATGACCAACCGTCTGATATACCCTTCGATCTGCCCTTTTTGAAGTTGATCAGTGGCACCGACGGTAAAATAACAGCATTTGATTTTCATATACCCCTTGATGAACGAATATGTGTTCCAAAATAAAATGGTTTTGGAATATAAAAAACCCTTCGTAAGAGTTTAGGAAAATGCAACGATAGAAATACCCTTTTATAGTTTTTGAAACGTATAAACGGCTCGATAAACTCTTCTACAACGGGTATTTGGTTTTGATAAACCGTTTTATTCACTGTTTTAATTAGTAGATCAAAGAGTTCAACATAGTGTGATAAACGGTGCCGAAGGGTATTTCTATCGTTGCAGTTTGATAAATGATAAAAAGGTTTATCGTTCTACGCTTTTTTTATCCGTGCTGGAAATACGGAGTATGGATACCTCATGAATTATCATCACATCAATTGCAACAGAGAGTTGATACATGTATGGATCTAATCACATCTCATCGCAACTATCAATGGTTATCCAATCGGATTACTGACGATGAGAAGTGGGTGTTGTATGTTAATTACACGCGTAGACGTCAGTGGTTGAGCGCTGGTCAAACAGGCGTAGCAACACCGAAGACTGATCCACATCCTAGGAAGTCGATGCTGAGTGTCTGGTGGGGTATTAAAGGAGTTGTTCATTGGGAACTTCTACCAAATGGTTACACCATCACTGCTGATCTATACTGTCAACAATTGGATCGGGTAGCTGAAAAACTCAAGGGAAAATAGGATCGAGTTTATATTTTACATGATAACGCAAGACCACATATCGCAAAGTCGACCCGTGAAAAAATTATTAAAGCTTAGCGGGATCACCGTTCCTCATCCACCTTATTCTCCAGACTTGGCTCCAACAGACT